GTATCATCTGAAACATGGAAGTAGCTACATGCCCATTAGCCCACAGCGTCATTAACAGGCGGCTCGCTCAGTGTGTGACGTGCACTTGTAGATAAAATATAGGCCTATATTAATGAAGGTTCATTAGTACGGTTTTGTATTTCTCTGTAATGTAGCACAGTGTTAACAATGTTACTGATACTATTCTTTCTCACACCTTCAACTCAAACCATTGTGCTGCCCCACCCAAAATATATCATTTAACAACTAAATTAATATCATAAACATGTGGGCAACTAATGGTCCTAAATGACAACTATTGGTCATTCATCTTCTTCTAACCGCTTCATCCTCTTGAGGGTCACGGGGGGGCTGGAGCCTATCTCAGCTGACATCGGGCGAGAGGCAGGGTTCACCCTGGACAGGTCACCAGACTATCGCAGGGCTGACACATAGAGACAAACAACCATTCACACTCACATTCACACCTACGGACAATTTAGAGTTAATAATTAACCTGCATGTCTTTGGACTGTAGGAGGAAGCCGGAGTGCCCGGAGAGAACCCACGCTGACACGGGGAGAACATGCAAACTCCGCACAGAAGGGCTCCCACACCCGGGATCGAACCGGCAACCCTCTTGCTGTGAGGCAACAGTGCTAACCACCACACCACCGTGCCGCCCCCAACTATTGGTCGACTAGGAAAATTATTACTCGGGGGCAGCCCTAGTCTTTTCTTTCTACCATTTCTAAGCAGGTTTATGAACATCTGAGATAATGATATTTCCAGAATCCAAACCGTGTTTAAGATCCATCTGTCTAAACTACACCCGTGAAAACCACTGACTTCGTACCTTATAGCTGGAGCTTTTGAGGACAAGGTAGCCCTTCTCGATAAGGTCAAAGGTGAGCTTGAGGTACAGGTAGGAGCCCTGGCTCAGGGCCTTGAGGTGGGCGCTGAGCTTGCCGAAGGTGGTGTTGTCCATCTTGCCGTTGAGCGAGATGTTGTTCTGGATCTCCGGGCTGCTGTGGATGCGGTGCAGGATGTAGCCCTGCAGGTCCTGGTCTATGGCGTCGTTCTCCTCCAGGCTGTCCAGAGAGATACGGTGGAACGGCAGCGCGTTGGTGATCTCCTGAACAGTCAGAGACGTTTCAGTCAGGAACTTGGTGATATGAACACACAGACATCTTGATAAATTGAATAAGCGCCTCTACACTTACTCACTTAAGGTAAAATGATTCATAAAGAATTTGAAAATAAAGGATAACATGCTGTGAATAACTCGTCCACATCTATATCGTCGTCATGAATAAAAGGTAAAGGGAGAGAAGACAAAGGAAAAACACTTCTTTTTAATATGCTCTGCATAATGAAAATGAAAAGGTCAGAGACAAAGAGGGTAGAACTGTACTCAAGACAAATTCAATATTGTCAGTTTGTGGCCTCCAGTTGATGCAAAAATAACCTGCTGATAATGCTGATGTAAAACCCTCTTAGCTGGCAAACAATAATAGAATAATATAATAAAGGGATAGTTGCTGCTTAAGTCCTTCCATGCTGAATTTAAAATAAAACCTTTTGAATTAGATTAAGTGTGAAACAGCAGAGGAGCAAATATATAAAGTGGGATTTATAATCTGTTCGCTCAAAGACAAACTCCTCTCTGACCGTCTGTCCTCTTACCTGTAACGTGGTTCTGACTGTGACCACCAGTTTGAGCCAGGGAGGGAACTTGTTGATGGTTTTAGTGAGGAAGGACACGATGGTGTCTCCGTAGTCTGGCTTGTGGAACTCTGCTTCATTCAGACCATCTATGAGGATGATGAGGTCCTCCTCAGAGCTGATCTTCCTCTCTGAAAATGAAACTGATACTATTTAGCAAATGTAATCCCTCCTAGTCATCTCTTATGACCCACTGTCAGTGTGTGGTGGTGTATCTATCTGCTGAGACTCTGCCCTCTGTATTTTCTAATTTTCTATGTTCAGGATGTTTGTGGGCGTGTACCCCACAGCGCTCAGGTGACGGCCGGGCTTTCTAAAAATGGAGCGACCAGATGCCAGACCGTAAGCAACAGACATCTAAGAGACACAGCACTGAAAAAACGCATATACAGTGAAGCACCAAACGAGAGTGAATCTGGGGTTGCCTTTTAGGGTGTTTTCACATATAGTCCTTTTAGAACAAACCGAAATCAGGACACATTCACACCAGGATAGTCCAGGGGACTTGGTTCGATTGGTTTTCACACCTTCATTTTGTTTGGTTCACTCTCACACTGCACTTTTCAAAGCAGACCTAACCACCTGTACAACGTCACGCAGTTACAACAGCTGCTCGTTTGGGGGCAGTATTGCCCGAAACGACCACTGACCAGGAAAAAAAAAGCACGAGGAAGAAGAAAACCCGACTCATCGATTGGCCAGGACCGAAAACAGAAATCCATCCCCTTCAGCCGGCTTGATCACCACAAAAACAATGGAGCAACACCAAATTTATATCAACAAGTGCCTGCACGTCCTCACAACTCCATGTGTGCCCACAAAATATTTTCCAACTCTTTCTTTTTTTACTTCTGCTTCCCCCGGTTGGTGCTGTTGGATGCACTGCCCTCTAAGTCACTTCCTCTCTTTGGTTCACTTCCTCTCTTTGGTTCTCTGGAGAGTTTGCATTTCCCACTGTAAGCGAACCGCACCAGGTTTCACTTGCAAGTGAACCGAGACCCCCAGTTTTCAAGCAGACCAGGGTTCATTCGTTTGGTTTGCACCAGAGTTTGAATGAGTGTTCACACCACTCCAAACGAAACGAACTATCCGTGGAAGTGGACCAGGGCTCATTTAAAGCGGACCAAATAGCGCCAGTGTGAATGCGTCCTCAGTCCTCTTAAAGTGCACCAAAACGTGGACCAACGGAAAAGGGCCTCAGTTCTTTTTGTGTTCACATTGTCAGTTCATTTGAAAGAGGACTCAATTCTCTTTATGGTCAACTTCAGTTCTGATGGGGCCTCAGTCCTCTTTCTGTTCACACTATAACCTGTATATAATATATATTGACATAGTTTTGTTTTTACTTTGACGTGACACTGCAGTGTGGTTATGAAGCCCCTCATTTTCAGATGAACTTGAATTAGAGGAAGACCTTTAGTAACGTTTCTGTGCTGTAGACTGTTGCTGTTTGATTTATTCTACATTGCACATCTGGAGACGTGCAGTATCTTCTGTGGACCAAACTACTCCTCGTCCTGCGTCCTCTCAAGCGTTACAGACTGATTTGGTCTTTTTCCAACTCATAAAACTTAAAAATACTGGTAGATAGGCAATAAATAAATATTGAGTTAATGCTTTTTTTTAGCATTAAAAACAAATGATGAACAAAGAACAAAAAGAAGACTGAAAAGGTGTATAGACCTGTATAGGTAAGGTTATATAGGCCTACTGTCTACCCAAAAATCACAAACAAACAACACTGGAAACAAGTAAGTTGGACTTTGTTTGTTTTGTTTTGCCTAATAAAAGCTTTAAATTTCTGGCTGAGGCACAAAGTTAATATTTCCCTTCATATTCAAAAATTAATCATCACACATTTTGTTTTCGCCCCTTTTTAAAATGAGATCTTGGAACAATATAACCCGTGAAGCTCTGTTTGATTTAATAAGTTAGCAGTTTTAAGAAAGATTCAGTTCCAGCACTGAGATTTGATCTTGATTATACTGAGCACATTGTGCACAAGATGCATCTAATATCATGCACCAAGGATTCGAGTCAAAGAATAAATGGAATCCCGAGGTCTGAGGAGGCATCAATTACAAATTGCCAAAAGTACTGTTTTGAATATGAAGCAAAATACTCTTAAATTATTACACATTACAGTCTATTATGGGGACTCAAAGATATTGAGACCAACAGAGCAAATAAACCAAAGATATACCGACTGAACAAAAGGCAGAATGACTCATAGAGAGCTATAGATTTGATTACATGATTAAATAAAGGGCTTTCTAAATATCCTACATGATTTCATACAGAGCGTTACCCCAGAAGAGATACTGTATATAAAATGTTGTGAGCTTTTCTCTTTAAAGGAATGGTTCAGCTGAACTGATCGTCTCTACGACTTGGCAGGTGAAGATGGCGGATGCACAAACCAAGAACAAGAAGCATGTTATGGGCGCTGATGGTGGCAAGGAGGTCAAGGAAAAGCTCACCTGCTATCACAAGAGCGTGGCGCTGGGCTTCAAAACCCCAAGAGAGGCTATTGAAGACGCTTACATGGACAAGAAATGGCTTTTCAATGGAAATGTCTCCATTCATGGCCGCATACTCTCCGGTGTGGTGACCAAAATGAAGATGCAGAGGACGATTGTTATCAGACTTGCATTGCATCCGCAGGTACAACCGCTTTGAGAAGAGACATAAGAACATCTCTGTCCAGACATCACCTTGCTTTAGAGATGTCACAGTTGGAGACATTCCCCCAATCCCAAATGGATCCCTTACAGACATTGACTCAAGCCCTAAGCTAAGCCCTAATTCCATTTCTTCAATGGAACGTGCAAAACCAAGAGGAAGGGCCAAGACAAGGGCTACGGGAAAGAACTGGAATTGGTCCTAGGTCTGTAAGGGCTTAGGGCTTGAGTCAACGAGTCTGTAAGGGATCCATTTGGAATTGGGGGAGTGTTACAGAGTCGCAGAGTGCCGACTGCTCAGCAGGACCGTGAGGTTCAACGTCCTCAAAGTGACAAAGGCTGCTGGAGCCAGGAAGCAGCTCCAGAAGATTTAGGTGTAGAACAACACAAACAAACTAACTGATAGAGGCAGTGGTAGACCAGCAGCTCCCATGTTCAGCAAAGTAAAATTACTGTTTTTGTCAATGGAGTCTGGCTTTGAAGAGAACATAGATATGTTTCGTCCAGTTCCTTGTCGGAAAGGTCTGTCTGTTTGGAAGTACTGAGCATATGACTGAATAAATGAGACTTACATTATACTGCATGAGTTATGTGAGCTTGAAAACAGATGTTTTCAAATAGTTTTCCTTGTTATCAAACGCAGACGTTGATTACTTCTATTCATGGAGAATGCTTGCCTTTTTTGGATTCTCCATTCACCGCAGGGGTTTGCGAGAAAGACAAAGCTTTCTTCATGAATTCAAGGTAACACGCTGTGAGTAATAATACACCAATGGTCATTTTGTGACTAGAGTGTTCCTTTAAGATCACATTTTTGTTCAGAAGTCATTTCATAGAATAAAGTCTACGCTGCATATCTATCATTTCAAACTGCTCCTGCTTTTCTGTTTTGCACAATTACCCTTATTTTCTACTTAACGTCTATTCTGTGACTGCTCTGATCCCTGTGTTGAGGTACAAACCACTATGAATACATTTGGGAAAGCTACACTTTAAATTACTTTCAAGTACAGTGAATTTGCAACAAGCGAATGACCCCCCTGAGAGTTAACACTACACGACTGCAAGTGTAACTTCTACAGCCGGAGATCCAGGTATCACATTTGAGTCTCAACAGTCTCGTTAAGTCATGGTTCTTCCACCTACGAAATATCACGGACATTAAATCAGATGTGTCATTTTCTGGCTTCGAAAGGCTTATTCATTGCTTTATGTTTTCGCGCCTCTTGGACAATTGCAATGCAGTGTTCACACACCTGAGTAAAGCCTTAGTGTCTCAACTGTGCTGGAAACCAGATATAAATCATGTAAAGATTCCACCGTGAAACTGCACGAAACAAAGGGAATCCTAAACCTAAATTCATTACATATACTGTATCATTATTTCATTGCTCCATACATTACCTACTGTGTGGAGATTTAGGGAAATGCAAATTCAATTTCTATGCTACAGAAGTGAGCTACAAATCATTGCTTAAAGGTCTCGTATAGTGCAAAGTATGGTTTCCATGTCTTCTTTGATTATAAAGCAGGTCGGGCACTATATAAATGTAAAGGCATCAAAATGTTCAGTCCATAGTGTTCAGAAACTGTGCCTTTAAACAAGCTGCCAGGACTTCCCTACACTTGTGATATCACAACTAAACAGGCCCCGCCCTCAGCTGTATCCTCATCATGTCACCTGGAGTACACATATATCCACAGCACCAGGTGGTCATTCAGCTGCTACAAGATGTTAAGCAAACAGTGTTAAGGTAATGTTGCACAGCTGATGGGAACAACATTATTTTTTTTCCAGAGCAGGTCAGTCCCAGATTGACTGGCTGTTCATCTCACTTCAGCGCTGACTGCTTCCTCAATCAGGCAGAGTACAGTGCTGATGAGACAGCCTCAGAACGCTGTGTTCTTCTTAGAGCTTCACAGAGAAGTGGGAGGGAGAAGATGGGGAAACTACACTGAACAGAAATTTAAATGCACTTTTGTTTTTGCTCCCATTTTTCACAGGTTTATGTTTAAGATCTAAGACTTTTTTATGCTCTCAGTAGATTTCTGTCAAATTTTGGTCACAAATTTGTCAAAATCTGTGTTGTGAGCACTAATCCATCCACCTGGCATATCAACATGCTGATTAAACAGCATCATTACTACACAGGTGTGCCTCGAGATGGTCCCAATAAAAGGCTACTCTAAAATTTGCAGTTTGAAGACACAGCACAACACCACAGATGTCCCAGGATGTGAGGGAACGTGTCATTGGCATGCTGACTGTAGAAATGTCCACCAGAGCTGTTGCCCATGAACTGAATGTTCATTTCACCACCATGAGAAGTCTCCAATGTTGTTTCTGTTAAAGTACATCCAACCGTCCACACAACCGCATGAGTCGAACACGATAAAAAACTGCTGTCAGGTTAAGACCCTGGTGAGGACGATGAGCATGTAGATGAGCTTCCCTGAGACGCCCCAGTTGTTGCAACAGCCTCAGGTGATCTTGCAGGTGAAGATGCAGGATGTGATTCTGAACTGGTGTGGCTACATGTGGTCTGCGTCATGTTATGTTGTGATAAAACTGCACATTTTAGAGTGGCCTTTTATTGTGGCCATCCAGAGGCACACCTGTGTAGCAATGATAGTGTTTATTCAGCATGCTGATTGGCCACACCTGTCAGGTGGATGGATTATCTTGGTAAAAGAGAAGGGCTCACTAACAGGGATTTTAACAAATTTGCCACCAAAACTTGACAGAAAAATGGGAGCAAAAACAAAAGTATTGCATTTAAATTTTTGTCCAGCATATACTGAGATTTTTCTTTGTACTTAAAACCACAAATATATCTTAAACTTCAGATAAAACACTGAAAAAGTGTAAAATATGGGACCTTTTTAAACATATTGTGTTGTTTCCTCTCACTGTTTTCATCATTGTAACTTTATTTTTATTGTTTTATTCTCTTGCATCTTGTGAAGCACTTTGTGACCTTGTTAAGGTGTACCAATAAAGTTATTATTACCTTTGTAAAGTGCATCCAGGGGCTCTAGGACGCCCCTCCTGAAGGAGGCCAGCGGGTCCTGGACGCAGGAGCGCAGACTGAGGATGCTCTGTAGGTGTGGCTCCCTCAGCAGCTGCTCCCTGTAGGCGACAAGGTGCGGCGAGCGGCACAGCAGAGCCGCCACGTTGTGCACAAACTCCGGCACCAAGCAGGTGTAGGCGTTATCTGCCTGGCAGTAGTGGTACGCCACCACCTGGGGGCGACAGAGAGTTGGGAGAAGATTGCAGCCGAGGTCAGTCAGAGAAACATAAAGGTGGACACTTCCATCCCACTTGTGGTAATCCTAACCATGACCGACCTTTGGGGTATTGCAGGGCTGGAGCTCGGTGTCAGGGAGCATGGGAGTCAGATGACACACTTAATAAATAACACTTTTTTCCAGAGCAGAGCCAGTTTTCCCAGCGTCTACTACGGCTACAACTCATTTGGGATTGAGTCAACTTCATGGTGGATGATTGCAGTATAATGAAACACAATACTTCTCGTTTCGCTGTAAGGTTTTAGCTATTAATAATTCATCGCTTCCGGCTGCCAGGAGAGACTGATTCGGCGTTAGCTCATGCATGCTCATGTGTTAGATAACTGTGGCACGAAGGAGTCAAGTGTTAAACTGTCATATTTCACAGCCACGTACTGGAAACATGTTTATGATTAAATGTATAAATGAATAAAAAGTCTTTTCACGGCGATGTGGTGACATCGTCGGGGGCAGGTGAGTTTTCTGGGAGGTTAGTCAACAGAACAAAAGGAGCAGGTGTGACCAAACACTCCCGGGGACTGAGAGATCACAAAGAGTTTGAATTTTCAGAGGCGGTGGCAGGGATCAGAGGGGCAGCGAGGAAAAGGGGATGAAAAAAAAAAAAGACTAATCAAAATGAAATGCTAATTTTTGGTCACAATGGTATAAAGGGCTTTAAAACAAAAGGGGTGAAAAAGGGAATGAGCTCAATTATTAATGCACAGAGTTAACAAGATCTAATAGCTTGGCTGGGAAATGGCTTTCTGCAGGTATAAATATTTCATAAGGCTCCCTGGCAAAGTTGTTTTTTCTTTTTTAAACACATCTGCATAATGCATCAGGCTGGGGCCGGGGATGCAGATGGCTAAGCAGCAGGCGAGGGGGACCAAGGTGCAACAGCAGACAGGAAGGGGAGGGAAAGAAGGAGCGCTTCACACATCATATAGGTTTACATCTCACACAGGTTAAAGCAAGTTAAGTACTCCAGTCTACAGGTATCAGACACCTACATTTAATGCTTACTCAGATCTTTTTGAAATACAGTATTAGGTTCAGTAGGAGGTTTAAAGATTAGATACACTTTCACGAAAAAAAGCTTGACACATTCTGCCAAAAATACATCAAAATGCAGATTAAATGTTTGTGGCAAAGTTGAAATTTAAGACCAGTGTGAAGGATTTGAGGGGAATATATTGGCAGAAATGGGACATAATAAAATAAGTATGGTTTCTTTATTGTATAATCACCTGAAAATAAGAACCTTTGTGTTTTTGTTATCTTAGAATGAACTGTTTATATCTACATACGGAGCTGGTCCTCGTCCATGGAGTCCGCCATATTGCGTCGCCATGTTTCTACAGCAGCCCAGAACAAACAAACCAAACACCAGCTCTAAACAGGGACATTTGCGTTTTCATGTCGGCCACTGTAGTTAGCAGCCCCTCCTTGACGAGCTGAACAGCACTGAAAAAAGACTGATTTTTAAAGCAAAACTTCTTTATTCAGTGTTTGTACAGATTAAAATCATCAGGTCTGTTTGTTTTGGAGAGGAAGAGACCTCTGTGGATAATTCAGCTCATAGTTAAAATCTCCTGAACGTCTGGATCTTAAATTATCAGAAGAAAAAGGTGAGCACACATTAACAGGTGCTGGGTTTGCGGCCCATCTGTGACAAGCTGAACAGCACTGGAAAAACACAGATTTTTAATATGAAACTGCTTTATTCAGTGTTTTTACTAGTTTAATTCACCCAGTCTGTTTCTTCTGGAGAGAAAAAGACCTCTGTGGATAATTCGGCTCCCACCAAAAAGACATATAGCACAAATAAAAAAGCCAGGGTGTCTACAGGCATAACCAAGTTAAATTCGAGAACTTTTTAATACCACTTTAAATGTAATAAAAACAGTAAGGTGAAATGATACTGATAATAACTCTGTGCTTACTGCTCTGCGTGTGTAACTCCACTGCCGTGATCGTCATTGTCCTAAGTTTGAAAAGCGCAGTATCTCAACTACGAGTAATCATTATTATCAAGCCAATTGTTTAACTTGCATTTTCCTATTTCCATAAACTAACAAGCAGGCTGGCGTACAAGGCCGATGCAAATTCCCTGCGTACACTAAATGGGTAGAGGGGGGCAAAAATGGGGGTATTATCCGCATACAAGGCTACCGTATGAGGATGAAAAATGACAAAATAATTAATAAATAAATTAATATAGCAACAGATAAAGACAGAAATAAATAAAGAAAAATGAATAAATAAATGCTGGAAAAAATATGCAAATAAATAAATAAATACAATATAATAAATAATAATAAACTTTTAATAATAAAAGAACAAATACTGGAAATGTATGCAAAAAAAAATAAAAAATTAAAATATTAAAGAAATAAATACATAGGTTATGACCTCCTATCACAGAATGTAGGTTGTAGTTATAAAAAAAAGTAGGAATAAATGATAGATACTCACTTATTTCTTGTTTATCTACTTTTATTTATATTTGAATTCATATATTTATTTTCATAATTGTTTCAACATCTATCTGTTCATTCTTCTACTTGTTTATTTGTGCATTAATATATTTCTGTATTTATTTCAGCATTTACTTATAAATGTATTTATGCATTTATACATGGATATTTATTTCAGCATTTACTGTATTTATTTATTTATTCTTCTATTTATCTATACACCTATTTATTTATTTCTATATTTATTTATTTATTTATTTATTATTACTTAAGTCATTTTTTGTCCTCCATATTCCTGTCACGCCAACACCTAAAATTCTCATGGTGACTAAAAAAAATTTCAGACCTTTACAATCTGAATTTAACACAATTTAATACTTTTAAAAAGCCCTTTATTAGTAAATGCGCACTAAAGGCTTTTTAAGGACCCGCGGCCACGCTGCCAGTTTATCTCCACCTGTTTTGAAGTCTCCCACCTCGGGGAGCAAACCCAGTGTGAGTCCATGATACTTGCAGGTGGCATTAAAGAACGGCGGCCATGCTTGTTATTTGGAGAGGCAGTTTTCAAAAGAGCGAATCATTTGCTATCCTGCCACCTCTGTTGTCACTAATTGAAAAATTAAGACATTAAAAGGAGCCGTTTAAAATTATCTTGCAGTTTTTTTTCAATTACAGACGGACTGAATCCTGGGAATTTCACGCTGAAGCACAAACACAATGAAATGTACTATAATACAACATTTGGCCATTTCACTGATGCGGCAATATTTCCTCTTAATAATCATGTATGCAGTGCTGCTCTTTGATGAGGAAAAGATTAAAGGGAGAACTGACAACACAGTAGTATGCAAATGAGACCCCTGACATAATATTTGGCAATAAAATATATGTATTTTTAATTTCACACAGCTGTGGAGGGAGAGGGGAAATGGAGGTATGGGGAGGTATAAATGTTCATAAGTGGCTTTAGCTCATGCACTTATCTTACCATACAGTTAAGGTCAAATTTATTAGCCCCCCTTATGAAATCAAATAAAACCCTTATCCTTCCATTGACATGGGCCATAACCTTAAGTGTTTATAGTTTGTGTGTGTCCGCAAGAACAAAGACAACATCTGCATAAGGTCAAAGGAACATTTTTATTGGTTTGCTGAACTGAAACAAGAAAAAAGCAAAAAATGCAATGGTCAAAATTATTAGCCCCCATGTGATTTTGTGCTTTCAAAACAAATTAACTGGGTTTGAAACCACACCTGAGCAGTCAATTAGTTTTGAAAACACACCTGAGCAATCAATTAGCACTGAACCTTATTTAAGTGACTTCAAGAAGCAGAGTTAGTATCACTTGACCACTTGAATGAAAGGGATACTCCAGGGTTGCTCTATAATCTTCGTAAGAAGCAATATCATCATGCCAAAAAGCAAAGAAATCAGTCTGGACCTCAGACAGAAGATAGTGGATCTTCATCTTCAGGGGGAAGGATATACTGCCATTTCCAAGCGTTTCATGGTTTCTAGAACAGCTGTGTGTTGCATCATTGCAAAGCACAAAGAAACAAAGTCTGTTAAAAATAAACCTGGCCGTGGTAGAAAACGCAAGATTTCCAAAACTTTGCAGCGAAAAATAATCAGAGATGTCAACAAGAATCCCCAGACCTCTGCAAAGATGATTGTTGCTGAACTGGCTTCCTCTGGACTTGATGTTTCACGCAAGACTGTTGTGAGGGTTCTTCATCGTGGTGGACTTCGTGGTCATCGTGCAAGAAAAACCCCATTGCTCTCACAGTGGCACATTAAAGCCCGACTGAATTTTGCCAGAGACAATCTGAAACATAAGGGTGAGTTTTGGAAGTCTGTCCTTTGGTCTGATGAAACCAAACTTGAGCTGTTTGGGCATATGAATGCTGCTTTTGTTTGGCGAAGGAAGGGCGAGGCCTTCAACCCTAAAAATACTGTCCCCACAGTGAAGCACGGTGGTGGCAACATAATGCTGTGGGGCTGTTTTGCTGCTTCAGGGACAGGAAACCTTGTTCGGGTGCATGGGACCATGAAAAAAGAGGAGTATGTGGGTATTTTGAAGGCTAACATCAAGACATCTGCAGCCAGTCTAAGGTTAGGTCGTCGCTGGGTCTTCCAACAAGACAATGACCCGAAGCATACATCAAAGTTAGTCAAAAACGTTTTGAAAGACACCAAAATCAAGGTTCTGGAGTGGCCCTCTCAGAGCCCTGATCTCAATCCTATCGAGAATCTGTGGAGGGAGCTCAAGGTTCAGGTCCATGCTCGGAGACCAAGCAATTTGCATGATCTTGAACAATTTGCCAAGGAAGAATGGGCTAAAATCCCTCAAGAGACATGTGCCAACTTAGTTAGAAACTACCAGAAGAGGTTGTTGTCAGTTTTAGATCAGAAAGGCTACACTATTGACTATTAGTTGTCAGAGGGCTAATAATTTTGACCATTGCATTTTTTGCTTTTTTCTTGTTTCAGTTCAGCAAACCAATAAAAATGTGCATTTGACCTTATGCAGATGTTGTCTTTGTTCTTGCGGACACACACAAACTATAAACACTTAAGGTTATGGCCCATGTCACTGGAAGGATAAGGGTTTTATTTGATTTCATAAGGGGGGCTAATAATTTTGACTTTAACTGTATATGGTCATCAACTGAAAGCTGGAAATTGCATATTAAAACCACTACAAGCACTTATTTCTGGAGTAAATGGATGAAAATTAGATCATCTGCATTTGTGAAAGAAGCCAATGGGAGGAGGAGAAGTCAAAAACAAACCAATCGACCACACTGAGTATTTAAGTACTTGGAGACAAATGTTTCACCCATGTTTTTTTGTTGTTTGTAAATCAGAGGCTGAAATGTAAATGTGTGCACATGGTCGCAAGTGTACCTGAGACGCCAGCCTCCTCATGGCTTCTTCCTGACGTCGCCTCATCTCAGGGGTCCCGGGACAGCTGCCTCCTCCCAGGGTGCCATGCGTGGGCTGGGGCTGAGTGAGAGGGAGCCCCTCTCCATCTGGACACAAGAAAGCCCAACAAACAGTCAGGGACAGATCCTGCACGTGTCACATTCAGGCAATCTTTTCACACTGTTGCTCCCAAAACAAAAGCATGAAGCAAGATTGTCCACTATGTCAAACATACCATAATTTTACAATGAAGTTCAGGAAAGAATCTTCAAAAAGGTACAAAAATTCAAGCGTGGGAGTAAAATAAGTTGATGCCTACGTTTGGGTGAAGCCTGAGGGCTGTCGGAGGCGATCTGTCTCATGCGGGTGCCGTGGCAGCTCAGCGCCACCAGGCGAGAGATTATCGCGGTCTTGCCGAAGCCGATGTTGCCGACGACCGCCACGCCGCGGTTGGTGCTGGCGTTGGGGCTGTTGAGGTGGGCATCAATCTCCTGGAAGAGCCACTCGCGGCCCGTGAATACGGAGTCCATGGTGATGCTCGGCACCTCAAACAGCAGAGGCTTGAGGGCGATGTCTTGAGGCCGATAGGGTGCAAAACGCACTGGCGGGTTAGGGAAACAGAGAATAACAGTTATAAGCCACATTTGTGTACTTACATTGATGCTTTACCATTAAGAGCCTCCACCTTTCTTGCAGTAATGCATCTGGAGACTGAAACAGGCTGAGTTAGTGGGTGTAAAATGCCTCTATGGTAACATGCTAATTACACATTGTTTATGATTACCAAAATATGCGTGTTAACAAATAAACACCCATAAATATGCATAAACACATAGCAAGTATTAGTAGCACAAGTATTTCTCATATACAATAAATATTAGTGTTCTCAAAAGGCATACCGCACCCAACAAACGACCATTTGTGTATCAATTACTCACCTCATTTTACGTTGAATTCATGAAGAAAACTTTTTCTCACACGTCCACACGGTGAACGAAGAATCCAAAAACTGAGAAAATTCTTGATGAATTGAAGCCAAACTATATCAAAACATCTGTTTACAAACTCTCACACAACTCGTCCAGTATAATCCAAGTCTCATTTATCCAGTCATACGCTCAGTACTTTCCAAACAGACGGCCCTTTCCTGAATGTAGAGAGTATTTGTCTATGCTCTCTTCAAAGCCAGACTCCATTGACAGAAACAGCAATTTTACCTCACTAAAACACAGGAGCTGCTGGTCTACCACTGCCTCAATCACTTAGTTTGTTTGTGTTAATGTGTGACTTTGGTGAATCTGAACTAACCCTTTGATCCACAAAAGTCCCACAATAACACAAACTAACTAACTGATCGAGGCAGTGGTAGATCAGCAGCTCCTGTGTTCAGCAATGTAAAATTACGTTTTTTGTGAATGGAGTCTGGCTTTGAAGAAAGCATAGATAAGTTTCACTTTCTGTTCAGTTCCTTGTCGGAGAAGCCTGTCTGTTTGGGAGAGGGAGAGTGTGCAAACACATGTTTTAAAACAGTTTTGCTGTTATTACACATGGACCCCAATTAACTTCACTTCATCGAAATTTCTTTCCATTTTTGGATTCTTCGCTCACCGTGGAGACATGTGAGAAAAACAAAATTATCTTCACAAATTCAACTTAACATGGGGTGAGTAACTGATATACAAATAATCATTTGTTGGGTGAAGCTTTCCTTTAATGAGGCATGTTTTTTTGTTTGATTGTCAAATTCTCCACCAATTAAATTGTTTTAATTTTAATTTATATACTTTATTAATCCCCCTGAGGGGAAATTCAATTTTTACACATTAGCCCACAAAAATAAATGTGTTTAGGCATTTTAAGGCTTCAAATATAACAAAGATATTCATTTAACTAAACATTAAAGATTGAGATCTCTGAAAAGAGTAACAACCTACTGGAAGGTGGTCTTTCTGACTTTAAATATATAATGAAAGGTCAATGATTCATATCTGAAAGGTATATATTATTTATGCTGCAGGATTATGTGACAATCTGCACCCTCAAAACCATTTAATATATATAAAAGGGCAGGTATAAAGTGTACTAGGTCTGGGAAATAAAAAGTAGTCACTATGATCTCATTATAAGCAAACGATGAAGTATGCATAATATCGTTTATGTAATGCTGAGACCAAGAAAATTTAGCTTAAGAGCTCAAAGGAGATTTATGCTTTTACAATCCAGATTTGTTTTCTTTGAGCTCATTTTGTTGCAAAAGAAAATCTGCAAAAAGACCAGGGAGTGACTCCTTTAACAGCCACTGCCGACTGTTGATTTTACTCACTAGGGGGAGTCATTAAACTAAAGTCCTCCAGAGGTTGGGCATCTTTTCAGCACAGCATATGGACCATTAAAGACTAATGAGGGTAAAATGAATCTGGTGTGAACTTCTGAAGCTGTGTGATAAATTCAGTGTAAAATTTAAGTCTTCTGCTTCTGGGTGTCATCTCCTGGGCCCCGTCTTTTTAAACTGATTTGAGGATTATAAGGAAAAAAACATGCTCTCTTCTATCTGGTGTGTCATTTCTTCAAATGTTATATCAGAATCTGGCAATTACGCCTGATTGAGACTGTGAGTTGTACGTGAATAATCCAAAAGCACTTTGCTGGCGAGAGTGTGTGTGTGCCACTTTGACTTGTAAAGCACGAGCCAGCAAGCTTGGCGACTGTGAGCAGAGCCTGATGCAACAAATGAAAATTAAAGTAACTTACGTGACTGGGATTGCCAGGCATGGGTGTTATTAGCGGAAGCTGAGACGAACAGCAAGCACAAGACGAGAGAGAGAAGGAGAGAAAGAGAGAGTGAAAGAGAGCAATGAGAGAGGGGAGAAAGAAAGGCAGTGAGGACAGGAATGAGGACTGCGACAGTGTTGTCAGAGCACAGGCCAAGGTGTAGCTCAATGAACAGAAAAAAAAAGAGGAAGCAGCAACAGCATCAGCACATCATGATGTCAGAAATACAGGGGAACCACCAGGCTGGGGTCGATTACTAATTGAAATCCTTTGAATTACATCGAGCGTCGTCCTCAGTTGGTCTGGAGGGGAGGTTGGGTAAGGTTCGCACTTTTGGGAGAATCTAATTGGTTCCATTGCGCCCGGGAAGATCAATCAATCCCCATAAAAATAATTGAATCCTGGTAGTAACTCGACCCTCAGATGGGGGACTCCAACCTCAAAATCCACAGACTACTATGTGTGAATAACAAGCTAGCCACTTCTTAAAGGGACAGTACACCCCAAAATCAAAAGTACATATTTTTCCTCTTACCTGTAGTGCTATTAATTAATCTAGATTGTTTTGGTGTCAGTTGCAGAGTGTTGGAGATATCGGCCGTAGAGATATCTGCCTTATCTCCAATATCATGGAACTAGATCGTACTCTCAACAGCAATGTCTCTTTCCAGAAATCATGATCCAGTTACTCAAGATAATCCACAGACCTTGTTGTGAGCAGTTTCATGTAGGAACTATTTTCTGTCCACTTAACTCCACCCACCAACCACATCACCATGCAGAGGGAAACGTGCATCTACTGCTAACTCACCTAGCATCACTGAGCTGGCTAACAGCTCAGCACAAGCACGAGCATGAGTAGATGCACGCCTCCTTCTGCACAGTGATACGTCTGGCGGGTGAGTAGGGTTGGGTGTACCTGGAATTTGGTACCCAATGGTGCCTTTTTTGGTGCTTTACCGTCTCTGTAATAACAAATATTTAATTTCTGAACAAGCTGCAGGTGTGACATAATAGATTAAAACAAAAAATGATGCTCTGCTGCTCTTTTCTAATCACAAAAGAGCTAATAATTTGTCTGTCTGTCGGCTTGTATGTGTGTGTGTGTGTGTGTGTGTGTGTGTGTGTGCTCATCTAGCAGTGATACTAAGCTATTACTAAAATAATACAGAAAGGGAAACAGACCAGATGCCGAAAAAGTATGGCGGCAGATTGGTGCTGCAGTGATATTTCTGGCTCGCTGGGAAGTCAACAGCGCGGCTGTGGCGCTCTGTGGCCAGCTTCCCAGCTCTTGGGCGCTTCTGTCTCTTGTCTGAAGTCGAACCCAGCGGCTCCGCAGAGGTCCGCTGTCGGCCTTGGAGCGCTGTGGCTGGGTTCCACCTTGGCCTCTTGTCTAAACCCAGCATTCTAACCCAAATGCTGAAATCTGGCACCAATGAATTTAACGTGAATTGGTATCATTAGGAATATGCTATGATACATAAATGTATTTTAGTTTTTGAGGCGAACTGTCCCTTTAACATAAAGTAATCAACAACAAAACAACAGAAATCCCAAACTTGGAGTTGTTACAAAAATCCTCAGACAAACTGCAGAACCGGATTTACACCTCAGTTTTTCTTTTGGTTCCTGCGTCGAGGTTCAGTTTGATCAGTGTGCAGTGAGAAATAGCTGCTGGTCAGATGACAGCTAGTGCAGTAGTTCTTTTCACACCCTGCAGTACACTAGCGATGAGCACACAGTGAGTCAGAGCTGTAGGAAATATGTATCATACATTAGACCAGTCGGATAAGATGGTGAGGGCGAGGAGAATTTATGTGTGTCGGCAGAAATTTCTATACTGTGTGCAGGTACAGGACTGCAAAATATACGAGGGGGCAGGCAGGGAGGGAGGGGGTGTTGTATTAGAGCTGTATGTCTTGTGTAAATGACTCCAGTGTGCTGATTAGGAGCACGGCTTCAAAACATAATGAGCTGATACTGCGCTTAATGTATTCTTTTACCACACAGCACTCTGAAGTGCTGTTGCAAGCATGACTTCTTTTTTTTTTTTTTTGTCCAGGAATGCTAATTATAATCGCAGAGTGAGAAGAAACGATCACGCCAAGGATACTCTTGCTTATGCAATCAGCAAAAACAGATATACCTGGAAATGGGTGAAAAGCTGTCCTGGTTTTATCCTGAGTTTACATGGCCAGCGCTGCCTTTTACTGCACTAAGCTCTGTGCCAGCTGCAGCCCAATGTAATAAAAGACATTTCATCCATATTCCCCGGTCAGATTATTTTAGTGCTAACTCAACAGACACACATAAACACACACAGTCAGAGAGAGACAAAGAGGCAGAAAGACTGTATAATTCAGAAACTGATGTAACATTCTTCCAGTTGGGTGTCACGCTGTGAAAGAATGGACCTGATGCAACATCGGTGATGGGAAATGCAAAAACTACCCAATGCTGTCATTAACAATACCATAGGCCACTGAAGTAAGAGGCTAAATACCCACAGCTACTCTGTTTTAAGTGGCGCTAATCCAATTATCGTGGGGGTGACTGAATGCCAAACGTGCCTGTAAAGCTCCTTCGTGGAATTACTAAACACACCCGCGCACTATCGGGCGCCATCCTCCAAATGGCAGCAACGATTACACCGCTTTGTGCGCGTTAAGTCGTGCAGCCACTACTGCTCCGCTGTGTCAGGTATTCCAGGAAAAACATGGCAGCCATGTTGTGAACGGGGGCTGAGGGAGTTGTTTCCAGGACGGGGAGAGCAAATGTGTGTGTGTGTGTGTGTGTGTGTGAGGGATAGATGGATGGATGGCAGTTGCTCATAATCCTGCCCATAACACTCCCCCTCAGGCGACGTTAAGCAAGGTATCACTCCACCTCTCCCTCCTCCCCAACCCCCCTCCTCTACCACCAACCCTCCATGGCCAGACGGAGCGAGAGTCTCAGACGTTTTAATTATTCACCAGGTGAGGATGACTCACGGTGGCTGAACAGCCTTGAGGAAGGAGGGGAGAACAGGAGGAGGAGGAGGAAGAGGAGGAGGATAAGAAGTGGAGGAGGGGGGAGGAGAAGAAGAGGAGGGTTGGCACAGAGGTGGAAGAAGAGAGGAAATGATGGGAGGAGGAAGAGGAAGAGAAGTGGTTTAAATGATCTGTCTGCTTGTTGTGAGGGGTCTGGGGATTGCGGTGCCCGGTTATCTCAGGTCAGGTGAAAGATTTTTCTTTTAACTGATGTGGGAGTTTGAGGACGTTGTCTGGTTTCTCATACATACAGTTAAAATTCCAGTCATCTCTCCTGACAGTGGATGTGCAGCTACAGCTAGTATATGCAACACCAACAGAATCTTACATAATTTCTGTTTTTTTTAGAAAAAAATCTTATGTAATTTGCACAGCAGGCTCAGAACAAACCTGGATGTGCTTATGGATAATGTATTTCTCCCGAAAATATGCTCTAATCTTCCTCATGGCTGCAAACTGCCATGTAACACATAACTGTTTCCTTGCTGGCACACTATTTACTGACGTCTTGCAGCCAAGCAACAAGGAGAAATTATGTCAATATGTTATATAAGATGGCAAAGCCCTAAAATAACCTCAGGACAGACCTACATATCACATCTCAAATTCTAGATTGTTTATATGAAAATGCGTTTATCGGATCACAGGAAACAGATTAAGGCAGTGGCGTCAATCACTAAGAATAACAGCACACAGAGGCGAGATAATCATCTCAAACTCGTCAGCTGTTTTGTTGGAAACATGCACGATCATCAAATCTAGACTAGTTATCTTGTTCACTTGGCTAAGACAGCAATACGGGCATACTTAAGTCTGTGTTTGCTGTAAATAAATGCTTACTATAAACAGAATGGTTATTCAAATTAATGCAGACCTGCTTTCTTTCAACAGAGGAGATTATTCTATATTTTTCTCACTAAAAAAAACAATACATTCCTATTCCTACTGTCTGTGGCAGTCAGCTCCAAGCCCATTGATTCGTACTAAATATGTGCAATAAATCTTTTAAAAAACAGTCTGAATATAGAATCAATATATAGCTCCATCTTTAAAAGAGGCTCAGTAATTTTCTTAAACAGCTGGGCACTGTAGTTTTTCCACAAACGTAACTCAAACACAAGTAAATTGCGCATTTGTTGGGGACTATTTTCAGCTGCGGATTAATACACATTTGATGCTTTAGTATTTACAGCAGCAGGATGTTGCATATGGGATTGACTTGAGACAAACAACAATGCCCATGTTCTTACTAAACAATGGATGTCTATGGTAGGGGAGTCACGAATCAAGAAACAACACAATACCAAGTTGATGCCAAAATTCAGAAATTGTGATGGTACACGTTGACTGCACTGACGGGGCAGCTTACTGTATACCCCTTTTCGACAGTAATGGGCTGGCTTGGCCTGAGCCGTCAGCTCAGCACAGCAGGGATTTGGGAGAGGGGGGTTGTCGGGGGTTGGCTGCAGTCGGCGTCACCACTACCCGCTTGAGGGCAAGTGGCCTGGCTTTTGACCTACTCCTGTGAAGGTCCATCTCCGGTGTGGCTGTGTGGCAGAGCGCGTTTAAAAACTGACAATGGAAACAAAAATTGGCGCGGCATGACTTTACTCAGAGCGGCAAATGGAAAAAGGGTAATAAACACCTACCAGGGATTCTAGTCTGTCGTTTAAATGCCAAAGGAAGACGAAGAATGCCTGCCAGCATGGAAGAACAACACAGAACAGACAGCTCCGCCTCAACTCATCGAAAAGAAAAGTTTTTCTAGGGATGCACGATAATATCGGCACGTTGTCCGTATCAGCTGATACTGGCTTTAAAATCAACTTTCAGAATCGGCCAACATGATGAATATTACATAGACTGAAAAGTGTTTCAAGTGTGTTTCAAGTCTCTATCTGCTGGTGGGCCGTCATGATAAGAGTCTTCATGCATGATGTTAATTAAACTACAGTAGAGACTTGATGATCACTAAAATTAAGTAGGTATATCGATATCTGTATCGGTCATCGGCCAAATGAGTTGTTACATATCAGCATATTGCATATTGGCAAAAAATCCAATATGGTGCATCCCTAGTTTCTGCCTGAAGGTTGTTTTTTTAATTCTTTGCAATGGGAGCACAGTATATTTACACTATGCTACAAATGGCAGCAGTGTCATGAGGCACTGAGCATCTATTCTGTGCTTAATGCTGCACATTTTGTGCTTTTTTTTTTTCTGGTCGCCAAAAGTTGAAATAATATTCAACTTTGGGTAAAACGCTACACTTGTCACTGTCACTTTTTATCCAACCGTTCAATCACAGTGGAGGCAGGGCGGGACAAATAGCCTACCACAAAGACCAACCATCACATCTTACATATTCAAGTGCCAAATGACGACAACAAAAGAAAAATATGTCAAATATAGTGTACGTTATTATACGCTTTCCTTGCCCACAAAACTTCATGAACCCACATAGATAAGTACTATACACTTGAGGCAGATCATCAGGGATCATTAGGGATTAATAATGAATCTAATTAACTGAATCTAGATGTTTTCAATAAAGGAATGTACTTTGAAGTACATTTAGTGTGGTATCGACTTGGGTATCGAGAATCGTGGAATGTCACTGGTATTGTTATCGACTACTACATTTCTAGTATCACGACATGCCTGGTCTACGGCACAGAGGAATCATCTGTATCAACCTTTAGATAAACAGAGACAGTGTTAGTAACTAGGAACAATACACTTCTGCTTTTGGTATTTTCATGGTATTTGTTGACAATAATATCACCAGTGTTATCCTCTAAATGTCTAACCAATTACTGCGCTAACCTGAATTTCCAAGACTGATTATTTAAGTTGCGTCCTCTGTCAGCTGGTATATATGAGAGTAATAAAATCCTCTGTAGTTGAAAATATTATCATCAGCCAAAAGCTGCAACCATCAGCTAATACAAGGCCTGTTTTGTGTATGCGAGCAGGCATAGAAAGACAGCGAGGCAGGGAGGGAAGGAGGGAGGGAGCGACAGAGACAAAGAGAGAGAAAGCGAAGACAAACGAGGGAGCGAATGTGTGTGCAGTGTACAGTTATGTGAGTGAGTTTGCGGTGAATAGATAAGGTGGGTGGTAAATCTTAGAGGTAGGCAGGCAGGAGCACAAGAAGGTCCATTACAGTCTGACTCATTCTCCTCAAAACAGCAGCACAGCTCGGGCCCCTGATGGCCGGCATCAAAAGAAGCTTTGACAAAAAACCAACTGGAGAGAGAGCTGCATCTGTCAGCTGGTTACCACCTGACCAACACATAACCAGCAGTCTTCTTCTTCTCTAGTTCCTCTTTAACTCTGCATCCAGCGGTCTCTGAAGCAAAACAACTAGTGAGCCTCTCTGTGACGCACAATATGTTAAAATATTTGTGATCTCTGTGGCGTGCATGGTATTAATAATGTGATAAACGCAGGTAATGTAATACCTCTACAGCTTGAACGCATCGCATTATTATGGAACTTAATGTAACCCCAGTTTACTGTTAGTTGTGGCCACCTGCTGCTAACTGCTAACAGCTAACATTAACTAGCTCACTCTCCTCCTGCCGATGTCAACACAGATTTGTTGTTCATAATGCAGCGTCATCAAGGAATCAATAGCGTGCGCTCTCTGACGCAACGATAGTAACTTTCGGCATCCCAGGGAAGTTCTCTGTTCATCCCAAACGTGTTTTCTAATGAAGCCTGAGCAAAATCGATGTGACACAACAGTGAGTTGTTTGACAATGTTTGACTTATAAACTGGTGTATCCCTAATTATTACATTGTGTAATATCTTGTGTGAAACTGGACTATTTGGTGCTGGGGAAAAGGCAATGGGATCACCCCGGCCTGTAAAAGTCTTCCTTTGGGAATCATGAATATCTAGAATGTATTTAGTGGCAACCCAGCCTTTAAATATATTGTGTACAATGGGCCGTCAATGAGGGTGGTGCTGGAGGAAAACTCATGAGAGTCCAAAATGGAAAGGGTTCAGCCTCCAGGGAGCATGAACTTGGTTTTGATTTTGTGAGTCAAATCATCTGAATATTCAATTTGGACACTACTTATCTTGCTCTAGACCAACTCGTAAGACAGGCACTGACCATTAAAACCATGCCACAAAAACATTGACTAATATGACAACTTGTGATGCAAACACACATACAGTTAAGTAACTGGCTGATCCTTCATTCAGTGATTCCCCACCTGTAACTCTATTATCTCAAATTTCTGGAATAAAGGCGTTCTGGAATTTGTCCTCGTATGATCTGCAGGGGAAAAACCCCGTTTTTCAAGTCTTTTGCCTCCACACCGTGTCTCCCTCGGCCTCGCTCTCTGTCTCTCCCGGTGAGACTGCAGGAGCGGTGCACTCAGGGAGGCTCTGACACTGATCCGAGGAGGCAGAACGCATGCTAGGACGCAGTCAGTTGGCTTGTAAACACACTTGGCTGCCCTTAGAGGAGGAAGGTTGAAACAAGTGGCTCTGGCAGTAACAGCGGAGCTTTGAGAGGAACTTGCTCTTCCCCTACCCTGTCTTTTCTCCCTTTGTCTGTGTCCATCTCAATCTCCATCTCTCTCCCTACCTTTTCTTCCCAGCACACGCTCACTCTGCATTTGTCTGCAGCTAGCTGCCCTCGGGCAGGGGAATCACATCGCAGCTCAGCCGAGCGCACTCTCAGCTAAGTGGGGTCTAAACAGGTGTTTAAAACACACGGGGACGCATATTTGTGTTCGCTTGGATGGCAGAGGGCTGCCATTACGGTGCTCATTACTGGCTAAGTGACTGAGGAAGAAGGGCGAGGGGACACATAATGTTGTGACATAAGGCCATTTGGCCATTTGGTGAGGAGGCTGAGGAGATTTGCTCGATCACGGAGGCACTTGCTGTGTGCTAGACTTGAACAGTGTGCAGCGGAGCGCACGCTGACTGTGAATGTTAAGCGCTCAGACAAATTTTAACTTGGTGGTGACACAACCTGACAAAATGCTCTTTGTGCACTCCCCCAGTCTCTCTTGTCTCACACACAAAAACACACAAGGACACAACAGCTGACAACCTCCAGTGTCCAGCACCGACAGCTCGCAGCATCACTGGTCTGATACGGGAGCATTTCTGTAGCTATACATGCAGACATTTGCACCTGAAACACATTTCAAACTGCAAATCAACTCTCAGTGACTTTCATTTGATTTAAAAATAACTCGTTCGTCATGCAGCTTCGCCTTGCGATGCTCAGCTGCTTTGAGTTGTGTTGTTTGTGGGTGAAAAACAGAATAGTGCCCTATTGTTTGCCTCTGCACTGTGTATGATGTGAAGCAAATGTCTAATCGCGGCCAAACCTGAAACAAAACTGCACTTTTAAAGAGAAAGGGAGAATAAATGATGGTGGAATGATTTGACGTGGAGCTGTTCAACTGCAAATGTCTGCATATCGGCTCATACTGCAGTTCTTATGTGAACAGCCAGAGTTTAGGGCGCAGTGTCTCTTGTGGCGAACAGCTTTTTCTTTGCAATTTGTCAGGTTGAGCAATGGATAAAATGGAATCTTTCTAAAGGGGACCTTTATTCTTTCCTGTACCTTATATATGACATCACAATGAAGGATGAGGTATGAGGTAAATATAACTCTGGCCTAAACTGCTACACGAGGCTACATGCTAACGTCAGGGACACAAGTACATTTGGTTGCCAATATCTATTCTCCCTTACAGTCATTCCCCAGCTGCAATGATGGTGCAGGGACCGCAAGATATCGGCTGAATCCAAACATGTTCTAGTAGAAACTCCAAATACAAGTATGAACCTGAAAATGAGCATAATAGGTCCCCTTAAAGTAAATTTATTATTATTTTCTGCAAATTTTAAATCCTACTTTTTGGGATCCTGTTCGCTTACAGGTTCAAGATGATGTGCCTGCAGTTGCATTATCCCAGGTTCAATTCCAGCCATAGACTTGTTGCATGTAATCTCACTCCTCTCCTGTTTTGTTAAGATCTCTATTGTCCACAGTTCAAGGTAAAAATACCCCAAAAATATAGAGAAAGGAATAATAATTTTAGCCCGTTTTAACAGAAAAATAAACTCTAAAAATAATCTTATGATATCCTTTTTTCATTTTAATTTTTTAGGGGTATTTCAATCTTTACCAACAATGAAAGTAGAGCCAGACAACAAACAGGGGAGATAGCAAGAGAAGGAGAATGACATACAATAAGGGTCCTGTCCAAAATCAAACCAGGGACACTGCATTTACATGATAAACACCTTAACCAGCAGGCTACAAGGATGTCCTTTAACTCTTGATATGTTTGACTGTATTTTCCCCTTTATTATTATATAACAATGCGTCCTTTATGTCTTGAATTTGTGCAGCTCACATGGCACAGACAGACTGAGTAAAGTCTCAGTGGACAAGAGTAAAGGGATTGTGTGTGTCTGTGTGTGTGTTCTCTTTAACTCTCACTCACCTCTCAGGTCCTGCCCGGAGCGACCCGGCCCGCAGGTGGTGCTCTGTCGGGGCATGCGCAGCGAGGTGCGTAATGGAGTGTGTCTCTGCTCATCCAGGTATGCCAGGTCCTCCAGGTGGGCTGAACTGGTGGCTGTTTGAGTGTGTGACAGAGAGAGGGAGACACAGGAGGATATTTTAGAGAAGGAGAGACAAAAAAGATACTACTGTCACTGTCATGTACATCGAGAGGCATTTTAACTAAACAAACCCTTAATACACACACACAAGAAGGTGGCATTGGTTCATGCCAGAGTCCTGAGGCAGTTGTTTGGCTCCCGCTCTCATACTTGCTAACTCCTACAGGAAAGAGCGAGTCAGCCCTACATGGTTCTGTCCTAAAACTCCCTCCTCTCAGTGTCTGTCACGCGGCACGGAGGCAGATGCCATCCGGCCCCTCTCAGGATTAATTAGCTCAGCAGACAAATGTCTTATTCATGGAGTGAGCGCCGTCTGACGCTAGCTGCTGATTGTTCACACCATGCTGTGTCTTCAGGGCCGACGCTTGCAACCAGTGAATGTTAAATGAGATCAGACGCAGCCAGCGTGAGTAAGCAATGGACCTGACTCTCCATCACACCTGAACCCCAGTTAGGAGGTGAGGGGAGGGAGGAAACTCTGAACAGTAAAATCCAGGAGAGATGAAGGGACTAAGATTGAGGGTTCCTTGATAATTAATTAATTAAGAATTCCAATATGTTATTTCCATGGCCTTAGAAGGTCCAGTCAATATTTGCAAACATAAGCGACTCTCTCTTAAAGCCAGAAACCAGACAGGTAAGTCTTCAACTTGTCATCTAGAACATCTTTCACTGTCTATGGAGCAGCTCCAAACTTTATACTTAATGACATCATAAATTTGAGTTTTAGCACTCTAGTTTTGGGATTTGGAGGTTGTTCATGTTTACTTTTATTTAAGAATAACACGTTTGAATTTTGAGTGCTCTGACAGGACAAGTGGTTTGAAAAAACTAAAAAGCACAGATAATGGCAAAGTAGAGCAGTAGAGCAAAGTGACAGATTATTAGAGACACAAAATGAATCACAAACTAGTAGTTTGGGACTCAAAACAAATCTGAGTAACTATTTTCTGGGAACCTTTTAGGCCTGTGTTTTTCTTTATTTTTATTTCAAGTAATTTCAGTTTATTTCAACTTGGGTCTGATTATCATGAGCCCTTCATTTTCACACAGAGATCCAGTGATGGGGCTGTTACGGAGTCCCTTTATTACACCGCCTTTGCTTTTTTACACAGAACCAAACAACAGCAGCATAATGCCGCCCCAGTGTAAAAGTAGGTATGGCTGCGTCACCCGGCCTTTAGCTACATGAATTTACTGTCCCTGTTAAATGGCGGCTGATCTCGTCCTCTGCTCAGAGGGTGAGGAGATCATCGTCTCCCCAATTTGTGGACACTTATGGCTGCTGTTCTTCTGCTATGAGTTAGCTGCTAACTGCTGCTAGCTGCTTTTTCAATCCCCCGGCGGTGGGGCACGTGTATAATACATCGTCGCAATGTCACATTCGTCCACAGATGACAATTTGGTACCGTTACTACCTTTGTTGCTGGCTCGAAGGCAAGAAAACTCTGCCCCCCATTCCACGATCACACCTTTTATAAAGAACAGCAAGGCAGAATAACGGCGCGACATTCCCGATTTGAAAAGGTCGTGCAAAAGGGGCTGTTGTATTTGTATCAATTAAGAAAAGACTGCACTCACTTAGTTAATTTCTTGGGAGACTGGGGAAGTCTGAGCAGGGAGGAATGCAAGTGGACAGGATGAAGCCAACAGTTTATCCCGATTATCTGAACTACTTTATTTGGAGGTAAATCTGAAAATGAGTGCACCTGAAATGTTAGCAATAATCGATCACAGCACAGGAAACCAGGAAGTCAGTATGCAGACTGTGATGGGTGTTTACAACGGACAGTTTGGGTAATAAATTTACTATTTGCCATGGTTTTCTCTCAAAAATAAATCAGATTTGTTTTAAATACATGTCCGATTGTCTGGCTATTTGTGCTTCTTGCCCCATCTGACTACTTTTAACAATTAAGTTGGTGAGTACAATGTTATCATGATGGCACAAGCTACAAAAATAATGATATTAAGCTGGATTTATCCTTATCAGAGCTGGGATCCTTTTTTCTTTGACACTATACCTGAAATACTCTGAGGTCCTGAGATCCCAAGTCATATTCAAGGAGTTAGGAAAAGGTGTGACTGCTTCTTCTCATTCTCATTCTCATGTCTTCTGTCTGTCTCTCTTCAGTCACTCCAAAACGTGAGGCACGATAATCCCTCCATGTGGCACCACCACCACCAACAACACTGATCCTGTCGTTGCTTTAAAAAGTGGTTTCTGTGCCGCTGGAGTTAATCACAGTGACGTACTGAGCATGTGCATGGCTCTATGTGTGTGTGTGTGTGGGACTGATTGAGTCACCCAGGCCAAGGACCCAAAAACAAGCCACATGGGTTTCCCAAAATGGAGGGAAAATGGCAGCTGAGAATGCTGGAGGCTTGGCCCTGATGGGAATGTGGGTGCTGGTCATCCAACTGGGCTAAAAGCGGAGACAGTGGAGGCATTAATCTGCGGCTAAACCAAGGAAGAATGACTCAGGGCTACAAGGCTGGAAAGGCTCCCTTTATTCTCTGCTTTTCAACTGTGTTTGAATGTGAGGAATCAAATCTGTGTGCTCATCACCTCTATCTGCAATGCAGCAGGCTGCTGGGGATCACATTCACAGTTTCTGAGCCAATGCGCTAAGACTGCACACACGGTGAAAAGGAATAAAGAGGAAAGAAAAATAGTATGAAACAAGGAGAGTAAGAAAAGGAAAGTGAGGAGAAAGTCTAACTGTGCAGCAGAGAGCTCAGCTGCTTTGGGCAATGATAGCCACATCAGACACTTCCTGATTCAAAGAGTGACTGATAGCATGAACGCATGCGTGCAAACACACACGCACACACACTCAAAGACCAGCTGGGCTGCCGTCCAGAGCCAGTCACAATATCAGCCGGGAAGCCGACGAGTCATCTCAGATATGAGGTGGCTGCTGGTGCTCTAAACGCCTCACCATTCTCCTCTCATCTCCCCGAGAGATGACACCAGATTATATATAATGGAGGTCCTGGCACTTAAACAATAATATTTCCTGGGTATTACGCCGAGTATGTAAGCAGAGGTGGGATAATCAGGAGAAAAAATGGTGGAAAAGGAAATCAATGACACTTGTCCGCCCCCCAAATTGAAAAATGTTATCTCGGGTGAGCTGTTATCTTAATTTAGTGAATTTAGAGACTATAGAGTGAGTTCACAGAATCTCACAGTGTCTTTTATTCCTCTTTAGGCTTTATATGAGTAGGAATCCCACAATCCCCAGGCAATTATATAAGCTGGTGCATATAGATCCTTCAACATGGCATTTCCAAAGGGTCAGTTCACCTAAATTATATTAAAAAAAAACACATTCCCTCCTGTGGAATCGAGGCAAGAAAAGTTTTATTTGCCAAAGTTTTGAGAGGTAAATGTTTGAGATTCGTGCCTCCACACTAGGCTTGCGCGATATGGTGGTATATTCCATGCCATGGTAGCAGAAAGGTGTCCGATGATAGAGTTTGGCAATACGCTATCTACCGCAGGAGCAATTCAGGACGTAAATTAGCATTTTCTACAATAACAAAGACATGATCTGGTCTACTCTGCCTCTGATTTGCTTACCCTCACAGTCTAACCCTAACTCTAATCAATCTCACTCCTCTTACCTAAATCTAACCACGCAACCAGTGAAGGCAACAAGTACTAGCCAGTCAAAGAGAGAGCAGGATGGGTCATGTCAGGAAACGCAAATTCGTATTGGGGGCAGCTATGTTTCAGATCAAGGCTGGATTCTGCTGTGACCTTGTGGTTCTTGTATCATCTTATGACAAGGTAACGTGATCTGGGCGGTGCAGTTGTAAATACAGAAACACTTGAAATTGTTGTTCTCAGGAACTTTAAAGCTTCTGATTAAAACTGAAATAATTTTATATTTTGCTGAACAATTATTTTATCATTATATATACTGTTACCCTGACACAAAATTACATATGCCATAATTTGGATTTTGATTGAAGATTCTGGCTGTATCGCCTACCCCTACTCCACACTAATGCTATATAGCTGACCTGGAACCTGACACTACAACCCCAAACTGCCAGGGGACACACATTCATCCCCTACTCCCGACATAGAAATACAAAAGTCAAAAGGTGGTGGATTGTGTGTGTCAGGGTTTAAATGCATTTTGAATTTGTGAAGGGGCATGTTCAGGCTTTTTACCCAGGCAGGGAGGATCTAACAAAACATCTAGTTGCATTATGAGAAAAGTAGAAAGTAGTGTTTTGGAGCTTAACCCACGTTAAGGACTACAAGTCAGAATGTTTTTGCTGCATCAGTTCTGTTGTTTTAAATCTGACGCTTGTTGGTCACACAATTTTATGTAGGTACGATACTAAATCACAGTAGTGCCTCTTTATTTAATTTCCATTTTTAGGGATAGTATTGAGGAATTAGTGATGAAAAGAGGTGGGATAAGTACTCAAACCTTTCACTTAAGTAAACGTAGTAATATTGTCAATGTCTATCACTTGTCAAGCACCCTGAAGCACATTGATTTGTGTGAAAGGTGCTATAGCTATTAATATTGTAGAATTGATTGACTGATTGATAAGACAAAATTTTACAAGTTAAAGTCATGCTTTCAAAAAGTACAAAAGCACTGGCATCAAAATATACTTAAAGTAACTCATTTCAGAGTATCTACATACTTTATATTATTAAGTTGTAAGTATTATTCATTAATATGTTCATCTTTTAATGCTGCAGCTGGTAAAGGTAGAGCTAATTTTAACTCGTTAATGTACTGCTCGTATCTTAACTCTTATCTTAATCTATAATATACATCATCATTTCTTTGTTGATTAATGTCCAATATCAGTTTTATTTTGTATTAGTCTGTTTCTGTAAAATGTAACCAACAACTATATCTGTCAAAAAAAAACATGTCGTGGAGTAAAAAGAACATTATTAACCTCTGAGATGCAGTGGAGAGGAAGTATAAAGTAGCATAAAACTGAAATACCATAAAATTTCAGTTAATAGCCCGGGCTATTATTTGCTGAAATCACTGAACTCAACAGGCCTATATCTGGGACAGGCCTTTAATTCCTTTCACACAAAACAGTTAATTAGCAAAGATCAGGAAAAACATTCAAATTGTTAAAATAAACCAGTATTATTTTACTTATATTATTATATATATATATATTATATATATTATTATATATTTACTAATATATCAATTCTGAATCGTTCGTTCGATCGAGCTCTGACAGACAGCACATCGGAGCAAGGATTACGGCACTTGGCATACCGACACAACACCACTTTATCCTGTTCAAACAATACTCACAACTTGGATTAATTTTTATGAAAAATCTTTTTGATTCCTTTGATGTGAGGACCCTCGCAGACTGAAGGAACATGAATAATTCACAGGGTAATCAAGGAATGGACACATAATTTGAGAAGGCCAACAACCTGGTTATATTCATCTGAAGAACTTAAAAAATAAACTGCTTAGCAACCAGACCAGGCGTCTAATGTAGACAGCAGTTTATCTGTCAAAATGTGTAGCTACACCAGGCTAGTAAAAGGGACTGGGTGTTTAATTGAAGTTTTACGGTAATGAAGTGTAAAAGTATCTCAAAATTGTGCTTACGTACAGTACTTGATGATTTTAGTTACATTCCACCACTAGTAATGAATTAGTCCTTACTTACATACAATTCCTCACTGAATGAAAACTCAAAAACAAATTAAACTCCTGATGGGTCGTAAAGACTCATTTTTTAGATTCTGATCATCTCTGCTCCTCTCAAGCGAGCAGCATTAGCGCCAGAGAAAAAGAAATACTCCGTCTCGGTTACTCCATCCTCCATATCCATCTTAAGCTCTACCAACGCACTGCCTTCATTAGGTAATAGAGTATCCCCCCTCCCTCCTCGTTTTTCCTCCCCAGTCGCCTTCTGCTCTCGCTCCATCTCTCTCCCTCCACACATCAAAGCGAGTCTCTCTCTGTCACTCTGGGGGATAGAAACGGTTAATGCCTGGGGCTTTGATGTTCCACTGCTGTGTGAGCCCAGCCAATCCTCAGCCTGTGCTCGCCTCCCATCCCTAACATCATCTAATAATTCTTTGTGGAGGAGAGAGTGAGAGGGAGAGAGAGATTATGAAACTCTACTTTCACTCCTCTTCCACATGTATCCATCTCCCTCCGCTCGCTACAGAATTCCTGACAAATACAAATGCCTTCAGAAACATCATGGTTTTTTTTTTTTTGTTCCTCGTAGCCTCTCTTTTATTTTTTGCATCATCTGCAGCTTATAGAACGTCTTTAAAGCCGTCTCCAGCAGACTCCTTTGAAGGTGTGGGTATTGAGGGGCGGAGATGAGATCGAGGGTGAATCTCTAAACCCTGGCGGAGTCGCTGCGCTGCCAGACAGCAGTGTCAAACAGCAGAACATGACCAGCATAAAGAGAGGGTCAGAGCTGCAGCGACGGGCCTTGTCAGCCACATTACGGTGTTTAGTGAAATATATGTGCGTGTCTACAGTACACACACACGCTTTTTTTCGCCAGTGGGAGTGGGTGAAGTGCATAATAGAGCTCATCGTCTGTAACAGCCTCTCTCATGATGAGAACAATAATACAATCAGGCCCATTAGGACTGCCTCAGCGTTATGAAACTGACATTTTTCCTGATATATTTTCTGTTACTTCTGGGAGCCTGTTTGAGGCCCACAATAAGAAACACACATCAATGAGACCTCTGTCAGCAACACAAATGCCTGTTTTTTTATGTGATATTCTTCCAGCCGCAGTATGTTCTCCCGCTGAAGCTATTTTTCCCAGACTGTATTATTCTGCTCTGTGGTTTCGATCCACACCAGAGGGTTGTGAGAGTTTAACAAAATACCACTGCGGATTTGCAGCTACCAGAAATTTCAACGCTACCAATTGAAATTTGAGAGTGAGAGCTGTTTCCTCACGACATAATGAAACAATGGTGTAAAAAATGACGACAAAATGAGTCAAAGCAAACCACAACTGAGCTCCTAATAAGACCAGGCTCAGATTTTTAGGAAGTTTAGGCTGATTTATACCAGATTTGCGGTAGAAATGTGGTCGGGGGCTTTGGGATCTGTGCTCATTTTGGTTCACAGAATACCTGGCAATAAGTCTGCAGATACAATCGCCCCCTCCTGAGCTGCTGGCTGACATCCCAATAATGAATAAAAACATGATATTTATGGGTAAAATCGGAGTGAGTTACATCACTGCTAATTGTCGATAAGAGACGAGGCGAGGTAGAGAAAAGAGTGCTCTGTGTTTGTGTTTTACAGCTGAGTTTGAGGTAAGTGTAGCTGAAATATGGCAACAAAAACAGGGTCTAAAGATTTAATTTCACACAGATTACCCTGCAAAAGCCACCATGAGGTTGGACTTGCTCCTCCAAAATATTAAAGGGATAGTGTAGCTTTTGTGGGGTGGGGTTTCATTCCACAGTGGATGTTGGACAACAGATACTGACATGGAAGCTCAGCCATGTACTGCTGTGGACGGGGGGCAGCAGCAGAACGTATTTAGCCATCGAAAAATATCAATATCAGTTTAAGAGTACACTTTATTTAGGATATTTTCTCTACTTCATCTAGCTGTCAGACAGCAATTTCCAACAGGCAACTGAGGTCATCATATCTATGCCTTCATCAAAGCCAGACCCCATTGACAAAAACAGTAATTTTACCTCGCTGAACACAGGAGCTGCTGCTCTACCTCTGCCTCCATCAGTTTGTGTTATTGTGTGACTTTAGTGTTTAGAGGAGTCAGTCTGGATTCACCAAAGTTACATGATAACACAAACAATCCGCAAGGGCACTCGGCAGAGGCCAAGTGTCGGCAGTGTTCACATGACATTTACAGCTTTAAAGAGTGGCAGGACGGCATTGTTGCCAACGCCACGCAGCAACCTCCAGGGCTGAAAATTGAAGCCATCACTGAAGTGCTAAAAACTGCAGATCCTCTAATGCCCCCTAAAACTGGCTCCAAAAATAAGTCAGTCCCCACAGACGCCCACTATGTTAAAATGCACAACTTTACAGCAGATATAAACATGTTTACAGCCTGGTACAAAAATGGTTTTGGTCTCTATAGCTAGTTTCAACATTCATGACAACTGTACAGAGGGTGAATTTTTATATACCTCACCTATTTACATCTCATTAAGGCTTAAAGTTACTCATAATTAAGGACAGGCTGCTTTGACTGGTTCTCATTCACATCCACCCCTTGTTCCTACACAGCTCCACCCTCTCATCCAAATACGGTCACTTCTGGCTTTGTTTCCCAAAAACTGAACAGCGGATTCTGCTTGATGTCAGGCTTTCTGATTGGGAGGTACTTCGACATGAGAAAACAGACTTGTATTTGTGCAACCAGAATTTATGCTGTGAAGAGTGATGCCTAAATAAGAGACACTTTTCCACTTGGATCCTACTGCAAGGACGTCAGAGTTTTATAGAAGAGAGGTGGAGCTGTAGGCCTCTTATAACATCTAAAAACAGTCTGCTAACACGTTGGGAGATGTGGGAGCATCTTGTATCATTAAAGGGAAACTTTGGCCAGGATGGCAAAATGCCGAACGCCAAATGCCGAACGCTATGTCCATTATTCTATACAGTCTATGCATAACGCCTACATTCCTGTTCCCACCCTGGTCGCCTCTGTGTGAGTGAGCTAACCCCGACTGACACTGTACCTCTGTCAGCACTGTTGCTGTTGTTAGCACTGCACTACTAGCTGCAGTCATTCTGACTCAGCTACCTCCATGTTTGCTGGTGATGTCCAATGTGAGAGCCATGTGCATGTCTGCAAGTTTAATGAATGTAAAAAATAATGTGTATCTGCCCCTGAAGATTCAGATCAGCTCCAAAATGTAGTAGGTTCTTTCTTGGCCTGTGCCAGAGAAGAATCCATTGCCCCATCAAGCTTCATGAAAATCGGGCCAGTAGTTTTTCCTGTAATCCTGCTGGCTAACAGACAAACGCACAGATGGCACCACAAACATTTCCGCCTTGGTGGAGGTTAGTAACTGATCGAGGCGGCGGTAGACCAACAATCCCCTTGTTCTGACTGTTTTTTTGTGAACTGAATCTGGTGCCTTTGAAGAAAGCATCGATACGTCTCTATTTCAGTTCAGTTTTCTGTCGAAAAAGGCTGTCTAAGGTGGCTAAAACATTTTTTGCTGCTGCACCTGTCCAAAGCTGTACATTGCTTAGCTTCCGTAGCAGTACTCTTGTCTGCTTCTCCAAACTGGGGATGTGCCAACCGCCATCTACTGTATGCAAGTACCTCATTCAGCCCCACTTCAAAAATCAGAACTATCCCTTTAATATTCCTATACACCTGTTTCATTGTCACATTCATGGTCTACAGGATTCACATTTAAAGGGAAGGATCATACTTTATCTTGAGAGGAAACAAGCGAGGAAAGAAGGCATGAGAGGAGAGAAGAGGGAGCACTAAAGGAGTCAGAAATTGGGACTCAGAACCAGCAGTTCAATCCAATTTTGCCAGAAAAGTTACTCTACTTTGGCAGAATCGGTAAACTGCATGCCCATGCACTTGTAAATAATCTTATTTCTGGCTCCTCGGACGAACTGTTGCCTCCTTTTTTACATTCATACAGGAGAGGGAGGGAAAGAGGAAGGGGACTCACCAGCCACAGAGTTAGGGCGGGGCATGAGGTACAGAGGGATGGAGTGGGCAGAGTGGGAGGACATGCTCTCCAGGTTGCGCTCAGGGATTTTGTTGAGGCTGTAGGTGGAGGCGGTCATGTTTTCATCCACCCTGTACAGGAACGAGTCCATGCCTGATTTCTGGGACTGCCATAGCTTCAGGTTTCCCCGGGAGCCCTCGCCGTATTTTCCGCCTCGCTCCATGTTCTCCGAGTAGCTGGTCAGTGTGGCTGCAACACAACAAAACATCGTCTTCAGCTACAACTAGTTCAATGTGAGAAATGTGTCATATTTTAAGGCCACTTGCACACTGTCCTCCTTCCACTTTACCCGGCCCATCTGCTTTCACACTTACTTACCGTTGTTCTGAATCGATCTGTGTTTATGTAATGCTTTACTCATCACACTGCAGGTGTTCACCATTGTTGCAAGGGAACAATGCTCGCACCTGTTTTGACATCAGCGCTTCACATCGGTGAGCCTTTTATCTCTCCTGTTTTCTTGCTTACAATGCAAGAATGCCACAGTTGATGTCAACATGACACCTGAATTGTCTTCCAGTGGGAGGTCAGACTGGTTCTGACTGTGCATGACAAGCTCCACAGTGTGACTGGAAACTGACCGCACAGCTCAGGTGGAGTCGAGTACAGTTTGTAATAAGTATTCAGATTATCGTGCTCTGAGTTGGTTTGGAGATTAGAGTCATTTTGGGTTATGGGAGCCGAGCTATAACCCCAGGCATGTTCCCACTGACTGTCACATGTTTTAACTGTCAGTTATTCCAGACTATGGACATGTCTGAGCATGACTAACTTCAGGACCTTTTTCTTTTTATATCATTTGTTTTACAAGCTTTTATTTAGTGTCTAGCTGTTTAGCTTATTGCTTTGCCTGCCTGCTTTTTACCACTTCAAGTTTACCTTTATTGCCTCAAACTGTTAAAATTTTTTCAAGGTCATCTTGAAGGAATACTTCACCCCCTCAAATGATCAATTGTATATCAATTACGTACCCCATGTTACCTTAAATTCATGAAGACAACTTTATTTTTCTCCCATTCCCCCTACAGTTAGTGGTGTAGTGGTGGGTATACCCAGCTCTTTTTCTGGCTGTTTACAATACACCCACCTACCAGCCAAAAAGCCATTGGAATATATAGGAGAGTATACTAGAGTTCTCAACAGACTGAAAAAATTACAACCTGAACCGAACCAACCCATGTGAGATGAAGCCCAAACCCAGCCCGTCCAAGATCATTATATAAAATACTGAACCCAAGCCCAACCCCTCCAAAAAGCACCAGTCGGCTTCTAATGCGTAGGACACACCAGCTGTGTGCTGGCGCAAGCTGCATGTGTCTCAGACGGAAAATGGACCAGCTCGGTGGCTCAATGTATTTCCCCGACAGACAGGCTCCCTGCTCCGGCCGGGAGGAAAGACAGAGAGCCCAGCACAGAGCCTTGCTGCCTCCTCTCCTTCTCTCCCTGCCTGCACACTTATAAATATTGTTTATTTATTTAATTGGTTTGAAGAAAGGTAGTTGCACATCCAACTGTCTCAGATGCAGGTGTGTTTGAAAATATCACTTGAGCCTTTGAACAGAAAATCCCGCACACTGCTCTCGCTCAGCTTCACAATTTATGAGTGAACACTAATGTTTCGGTCCTCCTGGACCCTCGCAGAATGTCCGACTTATTTATTAATTTAAAAAAAAAAAAAGTCTGACCTGGGACACGTCAGGCCTGGGTTGAGATTGAGAACTATACATTAGAGTATATCTACTTCTTCCTCAGTAACCAGTAACCTAACCCTAAGCCTCATCAAGTAACACTACATCGCTGTCCACCATGAAGGAAAAATCCAAAAACCAATATTGTTTTTTTTTTTTTTTTTTAGGGTCATCCCACATGACACAGGACTTCACCCCACAATGTACCAATAAGTGAAAAGGGTAAATTAAACACCTTCTCAGAGAGCCTTATTAACCTTTCACCATTGTTTCAGGGTCTTCCTGACTGTGTTACATCCTGTCTAATAACATGTCAAAACAAAATGTCTTGTTAGCACGGGTTACATTGGCTGACTGCCAGTTTTGGGACAAAATGCTCCAATACATAACAATCAACTGGATGACATACTTTTTGTAATATTTAAATATATTGTTGGCAACACTCTAACATGCCCGTGGTGGAGATTTTAGGTTTTATTTGTTTTTCTTTTAACACTTTTTGTAGCTTTTTTCCATTTCACCATGAGGGCCGGACGTTTTTGTGACTATGTCTAGTAATTCTTTAACTTTGTAATGCCTTCAATACATTTTCATATCACTTGATAAACAGATTGAATAAATACATTTTTTTTAATGAACACTTTCTTTATTTTTACTTCATAAAGGGCTTTGGACATCAAAATTGAACGTCACGTCATTGGCCCATAATCCAAGTCTCATTTATCCAGTTCTATGCTCAGTACTTCCCAAACACATGCATTTTCACTAAAACCTAACTATTTAAAACACGTCTGCATTAGCACTACTAAGTCAAGAGTGGTGTGAGAGTTGGTAAACGCATGTTTTTAAATGTGGACCCATGTTTTTAAATGTGGACCCCTTTATTCCATTTCATCATGAATTTTCTCAGTTTTTGGATTCTTCATTCAACATGGAGGTATGCAAGAAAAACAGTTTTCTTCACAAATTCAGTGTAACACGGGATGAGTAACTGATATATAGTACAAATAATCATTATGGTGGGTCCTTCCTTAATACAATATAGACATGCCTATATGAACACTACAAGGATTTCTGGACACTGTGATTTAGATAAGCCTTAATAATTCTTCTTCCTGTCCATACTGGTCTCAAAAAATCCCTTCTTGCGAGCGATTTGAGTGGACAGGCTCCACAGTCCTGTATTCTAAAGTTAAATCAATTTGTAAGACAAATCAAGTGGGTATCTACCAAAGTTACAGTTTTTTTTAAGTCGAAATTCAATTCACATTTTGTCACGATCCTCTGCTACGGCTCAGCGAGGAAACACTGTCCATGGAAACACAAAGAAGGATTATCATACTAAGAAGACTTTGGAAGATACCCACTTGATTTGTGTAACTGCTGAAGCTTCATATTAACTTCTGCCGAACTTCATGAATGTTTTTTGCACAGAGTGAGAACTTTAGATTTTGTTCACCATCACTTACACTGGAAAAGGAGGGGATCTCAAAGCAGACAGTGTGGACAAGAGGATTGACAACAGCATCCAAAAATTGTTTAAATGTACATATCCCAGGATTTCCTACACATGCATTTATTTGAGGCAGCCTGCCATGATTAAAACATCTGCTGCCACGTTTTGATGTTCTAATTTTGGAGCTGGACTGTTTATTAGGAGTGCTGTTGGAATACATATTCCATTCAGTTATACACTGCAACACATACACACACACACACACACAGGCGGAGCAGCAGAACACTGGGCGCAGTAAAAGTGAAACTTAACCGCTCCTTGCGTTGAACAGTTCTGATCAGCGCTACATCACATTTTGTTGCTCTGATTGGCTGAACGTCTATCCATTTGTATCCAGAGGGATTTTGATCTTTGGCTGGTGATAATGCACTTTGAAAATAAACTAAGAAATTCCAGACCAATTTGCAAATGGCGATGCCAGGCTAGATATGTTAGTTCTATTTTGAGATAGACTTAAAAAAATGTGATCCTTTCCTAGTATGAGTACAGAGCTCTGAATATGTAAAATTAGATGATTATGAATGGAATTTAAATGTTTAAATGTTTAAATTTAAATGTTAAAGCTAACAAAGACAGTCACAGTATATAAATTAAACTAGATAAATATAAAGAGCAGCTAAAACATTCCATGCAGGTAATGGATTTGTCCAAAAAAGATAATGGAAATCTATATTGCTTTAATTGCCAACAAATCCCTTGTAAAGAAATAAATAAACTGTGACTTTTTACACAAAGAAGTGCTGTCTGTGTAGTCATGGACCTCCATTATTGTCCAAAAACACATCCGTGATCCACATCTTTAAACTGTGTGACATGTTCCTTATTTTAAGTCTAACATAAACCGCCCTGCTGCTAAATACACACAAGGGCACCAATTATGCTATTTACTCCTGTTTGAGTAATGTCTGCTAAAAATTACACTGCCCAAAAATGACTTGGCTTTTTTCATAATATAACAATATATTTTTGTCATGATTTAGATGCCACAGACAGAACAGTGAAGTCAGAGAGCAGACAATAAGAACAATATTGAATAATTATCCCTTGAAGACATTGTATTTTACATTTATATGCATTTTTAAGACTGTTCTTTGTCTATCTGTGTGCAGATCTCACCGATAATCCCGCTGTCCCTGCTCTCCAGTGTCGAGGTGGGACTGGTGACAGAGCCGTAGGCGCAGTCCTTGTTGCCGGCCTGGCCAGGCATGGCAGGAGGGAGGGTGGAGCAGGGGCTGCCTGCAGGGGGTGAGGCAGTGCTGCTGGTCAGGGTGGAGCACGGGCTGATCCTCTGGTTCTGGCCCTGGCACAGACACTCACACAGACACATACACAATCTTTTAAAAGCTTTGTTTGGCTCCAACAACTCAATTAGTACACACTGGTATAAAAGGCAAAGTACAATGTTTGAACTTTTAATATCTGAGTCATATTCAGAGGAAAATGTCACTTCAATATTGCCGTTTTCAAAAGCTCAGCCCCCCTGCTGCCTTCATGTAGTCAGTCCTTCAAAGGATTTTCTCTCCCACACGCATGCAAACACATATCTTAATACATAATAATTTCTAGCATTTTCCTAAAATATAGGTTTGAAAGAGCTCCACAAATTAGATAATGCCACACTGCTTAAAAATACACACTCACAATATCTTTACATACACAAACACGCCCAACAAATAGTCGTTCCAGAAAGTTAACAAACAGCTCGTGTAACACCTCCAATCACTTTATAAATGTACCTCACAGCACAACTCACTGCAGTTTAGGAGCATGGCAAGAAGAAAACAAACTTTAGAGAGGTAGTATACACATCAGGGACGTAACCAGTAACATCTAAATGCAGGAAAACAGCAATTTCCCCTTTTTAGAAACAAAGGGAGTGGCATTTCCAAAATCAGATTCTGCACAGTCCCATGGCACACGTGAGGCTGTATACTGCAGCTCTTTGTAAACATGTTGTTGTGTGATAGAAGTTTGAACACTAATATAACTTTAAATTATAATCTGGATAAAGCTCAATACAACACATGATTTGTTGAAAATTATTTTGTCAAGACAGGGTTCAAATGAAGACTTTTAGACTTTGTTGACACCAGCAGGAATTAAATTTAAGACCTGTTTTACAATGGCAAGTCAACATATATAAATATAAATTTCTTAAGGTGAGGGACAATTTTGCCAAAATGTTTATTGTAACATAAAATATTTTTTGTCTTGTGTTGAGGACGAGAGTAGAACAGAACTGGGAAATAACTGATGAATGTTCACCCTCTGTCTGAGAAGACACCCCTCCTGAAAAAGCCCAGTCTGCTCTGACACATCAGCGTTGACGGGTCGTCTGTATCCCTGCGTCTCTGCAATTTTATTTTAGCCAGGGAATGGCTGTAATGGAGAATAGCGGCACTTTTTACTGTCCTAAATTACCAGTGAAAGCTTTTAAACACAACTAGACATGCTCCAGCAGGAATATGATCCAAAATCATGGAGAAAATTACACTATCAGCAACCAAAATCATGTTTTCCTAATGTTAGCATGTAGCTACATGTGCGTTGGCAGTGTACATTCAGCTGAGGATTGACTTTAATGGAAAATAGTGGCACTTTTTACCATCAAAAATGACTAGTTAAAGTTTTTAAACACAACTAGACATGTCCGAGCAGGAATATGATCAGAAAACAGGGAGAAAATTACAACATCAGTGACCAAGATCACATTTTTCTGACATTAGCATGTAGCTACATGTATGCTAGCAGTGTGCTTGCAGTCGAGGAATGACTGAAACGGGAAATAGCGGCACTTTTTACTGTCAAAAAATTTCCTGTAAAAGCTTTTAAACACCACTGAACATGCTCCAGCAGGAATATGATCCAACATCAGGGAGAAAATTACACTATCAGGAACCAAGATCATGTTTTCCTAATGTTAGCATGTAGCTACATGTACGTTAGCAGTGTACATGCAGCTGAGGATTACAGGATTGTCAAAAATGACTAGTTAAAGCTTTTAAACACAACTAGACATGTTCAAGCAGGAATATGATTGGAAAACAGGGAGAAAATTACAACATCAGCAACCAAGATCACATTTTTCTGACATTAGCATGTAGCTACATGTATGCTAGCACTGTGCTTGCTGCCGAGAAGTGACTATAATGGGAAATAGCGGCACTTGTTACTGTGAAAAAATTCTAGTAAAAGCTTCTAAACATGACAGGACATGTTTCAGCAGGAATATGATCCAACATCAGGGAGAAAATTACAACATCAGCAACCAAGATCACATTTTTCTGATGTTAGCATGTAGCTACATATATGTTAACAGTGTATTTGCAGGTGAGGAATGACTGTAATTAAGAATAGCAGCACTTTTTACCTTAAAAAAATCACCAATAAAAGTGTCTAAACACTACCAGCATATTCCAGAAGGGTTGTATGGAATGGAAGAGAAATGTACAACATTGGCCACCAAGTTAACACATATCACTGACATTAGCATGTAGCTACATGTAGCTAGTGAAGGCTAAGTCAGGTCAGCTCACAGGGACTAGTCAGATACGCTGAACTCATTTTTGGAAACTTTGGCCACGTTCAACATGTAAAATATGTAAAAGCATAACAGGTCCCTTTTAATACTTTTGAAATATTGATTTAAGACATTTTAATACCTATAAAGACCTTAAATTTAGATTAATGAATTGAATGCCTTTAAAGTCTTTTTAAATGATCCATGGGAACCCTGCAAGAGGAGAATGTATCTTACCCTCACAGACACACTTATTTCATGCATATTTTTATCCTCATTGCCATGACAACAATTAAATTGGAAAAAAACAACAACAACAACAACAAAAAAAAAAACACTGACACTGAAATTCCACACACACACTGAATACATATTTTCTTTCCAGTCCTAGCATTGTTTTGGCACCCTGCAGTGACCCTCTTCTGCGTCGGCTCAGGTTAGGAGACAAGCAACCACAGGGGACAAAAAACACTCTGCTGCATCTAATCTGCTGCTGCGAACACCCACAGATGCACTCTCACACATATAAATACACATACCTAAAAGACACACGCATGCAGCATCCACGGATTTGCAGAGGCGCAAGAAAAGCAGGGATACCAAGTGATTAAGTGTGTGTATCAGACACTGAAAAAACACAAACACATGGAGGTCTCTCCTTAACGGTGCCGCTGATGAGTTCAGGTCAATGCTGGGGTGAACACAGAGAGAACAGGAGGGTTGAAGTGGTGCTCAGGGCTAAATCTAGTTTGTTTAATCTGCAGGAAGAAGACTGAAGGGACAGTACACACACCCACACACGTACTCAGTCGGGAGACGGGGCTGCAGCTAACGATTATTTTCATTATTGATTAATCTGTCAATTATCTGCTGACAAGCTCCTCAGGCTGTGGCTCAGAACATAGATCAGGGGGTCAATTAATTATAGGGTTGGCGGTTTGATCCTCTGGTCCACTTGCTAAAAGAGTCCTTGAGCAAGACACTGATCCCCAATTGCTCACACTAGCCAAGACAGCACGACTCCACCGCCAATTCTGTGTGTGGGTGGGTAAATGAGGCACGTTAGAGAGCTTTGGTACATAAAGCTGTAATTAACTGCAGCCAATTTAACATTATTTTTGTGAATAATTCTGATTAATGAATTAATTATTTTGTCTTCAGCTTGTTTATTTTATTTTACCAACAGTCCAAAGCCCAAATATAATGAAATTACTATTATATAAAACAAAATCTAGAAGCTGGAGGCAGTGAATGTTTTACAGTTTTGCTTGATAAATGAAGAAACAACATGAGTTGGCATCTACAGCCATGAGAGTGGCTCTATGAGCTAAATGCTAATGTAAGCATGCTAATATGCTCACAATGACAATGCTAAAATGCTCACCAAGTTATTTTAGCATGTCAGCATGCTAATAAACAAAGTACAGCTGAGGCTGATGGGCATGTTTTGCAGGTGTTAGGTCACCAGTACTGAACACGTTAAAATTTCGACCAAATGGCGGTGCTACATTAAAAGTCAAAGGATCACCAAAGTGATTACAATTAATCCTCTGGGGAACATGAATGTCTAAACCAAATTTCATGACAGTCCATCCAACAGTTGTCAAAACACTTTGCTTAAAACCACAAATATCAACCTCACTGGGGGGCGAGAGGAAAAGCCAGATGATCATCAAAGGTATTAAAAGTCATTCTCTGGGGAACATGAATGTCTAAACAAGCTTTCATAACAGTCCATTAAAACCTCAGCCATAAATTCTGCTTTACAAACATCACTGAGGTCATAAAATTAGTGACGGCGTTGAACTGGACTGTATTATACTGACAAGTGTTTCTAATTTTTTTTCCGATCAGATTTAGAAACATAAGGGTGAAAGAATATTAAAAACACATTTCAAGATAATGCACACCAGCACAATGCTACCTCTGGCTATGACGTCAGAAATAAACATACAAAGGGCTGTACTGAACCGCCTTTGTTTAACATGAAGAGCTTTGATTTGAATAAAGTGATCCATTGCATTAAATGAGTTAGTTTTTTAATGAAACCAACTATTCTTTAATGGACAAATGTAATTAATGGTGCTGTTAATTAATTAATACAGGTGCATGCCTCCCCGTGTGTTTTTTAGCCACATGAAAATGTTGATTTTGAAAGATTAAATGTCAACAAATATGGATTGGAACTGAATATTTCATTGGATACAAAAATGTTATCATTTTTCAAACTGATTCATCAACCTTTTTTCAATACATTTTGTCTGTTGGACTTTACAGTGCTCTGGAGTTATTAGAAATGTTTGAATCGAAACAAGTCACAAACAGTCCTCATGCAACCGCCGCTGGAATCCAATTCTACAGATAGTATAATACTATTAATGTTAGTGTAGCCTAATTTTTCTCTGCAACTGCGCAGAAATACAGGGTGTAAACAGAATGAATTGTGCAAAAACACAACAACAAAAAAATCTGCACAGCGTTCGAATATCTGAATGTCAAAGCTATGAATGAAGCTTCAAAGCTCAGAGTGATTCAGTACAGCCCTGAACATACAGCTGAATCAACACCACTCTGACAAAACACAAAACAAAAACTGTCCAGTAGAAATTGAGGACTGGATTGTATAGGTGTGCCTTAAAAGTCAAGTGTGTGTTGCACAGTAGTACTGCTTTAATATAAAGCAGTACTACTTGAAATATAAACTGTGGCATCTGTTAACTATTCAACACACTGTCCATGACGGCACACAGCCTCTAGCCTCTGCTGAGTGTGTATGTGTGTGTGTGACTGATGGACGCACTCCTTCAGACGCCGCTGCCCTCTGCTCTCACCATGGACAGGATCGCTAAAGTGTCATGTTTACAGGATCTTGACCCCACAGCAAACAAACAAACACACAGCAACACCACAGCTCTATCTGCTGGGCTAACGAACCTCCCCTAGTGCAGGCGTGACCTAAAACATTGCGCGAGGATTGGATTGAACTTGGGAGCATTGCATCTATTCGGGGAGCTTGAGCACGAGAGTATGAAAGGCAATTAACTGCGCTCTCTGTGTGTGAGTTAAGGTCACCTTGTTCCGTCAGCTGGTGAGGTCTCGCAGAAGACACACCAGCTATTGTAGGAATTCAACCGTGTCAAATGGAAGATGGTAGTTTGGTGTTTTACAGAAAAGTAAAGCAAAGTAAACCCTCAGCTCATACTCATATCTCCCTGGCTTCAGCTTTAATTAACTACAGTATAAAAAAGTCACTAACTTTGTTGTTGGGGATGCACCAATTGTGAAATTCTGGGCCAATACCAATGTTTAAAATACAATTTTGACGAATTGCCGATACAGATAGTGATAATTTTTGCTGTTGACTTTGTTTTTGCTGTTATTTATTTCCCCTTTTGTGCCACGAAAACAAATAAATCTTCATTATAAAGAATAACAGAACTGATTAAAAGACATTCAGCCCTTTATAACACTACTTTTTTCCACTCCAGAAAACTTTAAGTGCTTGATTTCCTGCTTTCTGATGAATTTTTGTGCACTAATTTGTGCATTTTCTTATGTGCTAATAGGCTGATGGCAGTCAACAAGGCAAATATTGTCCCATACTGATGTTCAGCCCATAAATTGGTGCATGACAAACATTAAGACAGACTTTCAGCATCACGGATGAGTTAGCAGCAACCTGCAAATATCCAGATTACATGTGTGAACCTACTGTATTACTATAATGTGTGCTCTCCACTGAAAGCCACTAAATCCCAAGCAAATTAGAAAAATTACAACAAAGCCCACTCAGCTAATCTGCTAATCGACGGTGTCTCGAAGCAATCTTTGTCTTTTTTTTTTTTTTTTTTTTTTTTTTTTGTGGTTAATGAATCAAACAAGCTGCAATCCGGAGAACAGTATTTGGGACAGATATCTAAAATAATAAGTTTGTACTGTGTGCACGATGCAGCGGGGTGCTAGTGTGAGTCACGTCTCTAAAAAGAGCCGCTTGAATAAACCTCTCTCAATTTATACACCCCCACTGCTACAGCAGCGCTCACATCAAGCACAGGCAGTCCATCAGTCTAATCGCTTATCCACACTGCTTTAGTGCAAACCCATACCTAGGCCCGCTTTGAACACTTCAGCAACAGGTTCGCTCCCCCTTTCCCCCCCTCCTCATTTCTCCGTCACTCTCTCTCTCTCTCTCTATCCGCCGCCACTGTTTTCTTCCCTCGCTTTGGAAAATTCAAACCTGTCAAATCAGGTTTAGGAAAAGAAACGAGGGCATCTGCTGCAGAGCTTAGAGCAGGCCCGTTGTGCCAAGAGCTGTTTGTTGCACAACTGCCAAATTCACAAATTGAAAGGTTACGGTGCAGGAGAGAAACCTTGAACCTGCTGCATGTCAACTCGAGAAACTTGCTCTCAATATGCAAAGTTTACGGCACGCTGGGAAATAAATACTTAAGAGTATTTGTCATATAAAAATCTAATTAAACAGGGAGATCGTATCTGATGCTTGATGGAGAGGCACTGATAAATTCTGAGTCTGTGGCGTCTGAGGGCAATTTAGAGCAAAGCCTTTTGATCTGGCTACCCTGACATCCAAAGATCTGTCAAAACCGCATGTGAACATGGATATTATGAAGATAAATGTCAAAACAGATCGAATCAGACGATGGCGTGTTTGTTCAAGTTCCAGAGCACGACCTCTCACGATAGAAATGTGTCAGAGTCACATACACAGTAAGACAATTAGATTTGGATAAACCACAATAATAGCGTGAAGGGTGATAAAAAACTAAAGCGTGTTTTTTGGCGCCAATTGTATTGAGTGTGCGTCTGGTGACATAATGAGATTTGAATGCAATGTTGTGAGAGAAAGAAAAACATTTTCCGTCATTCAGTCTGTAGGTTTTTGTCAACAAGAGTGAAACTCCTTGAGAAAATAGAGTTGTAACTTTCTCTCGAAGAAATCCAGGCAAAGAGAGGTCTTTCAGGAACGTCCTCAAGGCAAATTTGATTATGAAAAAACATGACTAGGTTAAACAAACTGTAATTTGAAGACAGGAAGTGGCGACAAATACTCAGTCATTGACTTCATTGTTTCAGTGCTGGCCCCAGTGTTGCAGTCCAGCCCAAAAACTCATGTAGATACATGTTAATATGAAGAACACACTTAGATACAGTCACACAGCAGAAAGGACCTGCCTTCTCTAAAGCTGTACCCGCTGATGATTTAACAAAACCCTGCACTCTTCAGCTCTGATTGGTGATGGAGTCCCCACATTACTGATGGAGGTTGCGCAAACATCCTACTGACACTGATTACAAAAAGGAGAATATTGTCAAAACGGTGGCAGCAACCGTGCTGACATCTAACCTGTAACAGTAAATAACATTTCAACTGCAGCTTGCTAGTTAGCTAGCTAGCTTGCTAATTCCCCTATGACTTTAAGCTAACGTTACAGTGGTCACAGAAATGAGACAAACAAATTGTCACTGATCTGACGACAGCAATGTGCCTTCCTACGCTGTGACAAGAGTGTGTGGATGAAGTATTGTTGTTATATTTTACTCATGTAGCAACTAGCTTGTTGGCTAGCTAGCTTGCTAATTCCAACATGCTATCATGCCACACCAGGCCCACAGAAAGTGCACCAGGCTTTGAAGCCAATGTTTGTAGTAGTGGCCACACAGTATAATTACCAGGCTACCATGACAGCTGCTCAGCCTTGCAGCAAATTTTTCCCAATGGCAACTTGTGGTATTGCAGCGAAATAATCGCCTGTGGCCAAAAAGCATTTTCCCCATTGACCACCATTATAGAAGAAACGTCTGTACAACTGTTGACAGGACACCTCAAACTGCAATCAAAGTCAGTTATGACTCTTTCTATTCTGATTTTTTTATCCATGGAAATTCTATATTTGTAGAACTTTCCCCGAGCAGAGAAAATTTAAAAATCTGTGACATTATTACAATGTAAAGTCAATGAGCCGAACGGTATGTCCAGTGGGAGATACACTACTGCATGTAGTAAGTGGGCCGCATATCACGCAAGTAAACCTGGAAGATAGAAACGTTTATGGCGTATGCGCCAAAAAGACTTATCCCCACTGAGTTACATGGCGAAAGAGACGTCTATAAATCAGTGGATACATTTTTGTGAGCATCACAACCTTGCAAAATAACTCGTTCCACATTCAGAATTTGATCCATTCAGTCCAGTAACATTTCTTAAGTCTAGAAGATCCGCATAATAAAATAACTTCATCCTAGTTCAAGTTAGTAGAGTGCTAAACTGCAAGTCAGCTGTTTGGCTAGCAGAGGTTAGCCGCTTGGCTGCACCCGTCCAAGCTCGACCGCCGCAAGTCTCCAGTGCATTTGCTCTATTGGCGGAAGTAGTGCCCATCATCCCTGGATTATCCAGGTAATTTTATACGCGGCAGTTGAACCATTTTGGCTTCCAGCACCACTGAGCAGTTCTCATAGGAATGAATGGGGCTCCACATTGTATCCAGTTGTTTTAATACATCCATATAATTACAGTGAAACAGGACTGTCAGCACCTTTTCATTTCAAAAGAGCAATGGCCAATAGGGAAACACCAACCCTCATGTCATCAGTCACTCCAACCAATGTAGCTTCATCACTCACACACTCAGGAACAGACTGTAGCGTTTAAAGGGCTGTTCTCACATGCTGTGGTCTATCAAAAAAAAAAAAAAAAAGTTCAGTGAGACCCTTACCTGTCTCGCCTCGGGTTCCTCCATGCTGTACTGGGTACCGGCTGGCCCCTCGCTCACTTTGTCTCCCAGAAGGAAACCCAGGCGCGTCATCAATGTGTTGGCTGCCTCATCCACCGACGGAGGGGGGCCCAGCTCCTGGCTTGACTCCCCTGCAGAGGCAGAAAGACGAGAGGAGGGAGGAGGTGGAGGGAGAGGGGGTGGGGGTGAGGAAGACATTGCGGGGGAGAGAGATACAGAGAGAGGAGGGAGAAAGAAAGAACAAATGTGTGTCAGTGGTGGGTAGGAGCAGAACAGTAGCTTGTTTTTAAGCACACACACACAAAAAAGGCTTCATGTCCGCCACCTCTTTACCTAGAAACCCTGAACACACAGCGGATCTCGCTTTGCATAAACCACAGCAGCGATACCCGGATATAGGACACACAGCACCTGCGCTCAGGACAACGACATGAAACACTCTACCTGAGTTTCCCTGTGGCTCAGAGCTGTGCATTACCGGCACATTCCTCCACAGCTGGACATCTTTGCTGAAGTGTCTTCTTACATAAACTTAAAAATCCACTCAGCCACAACTACAGGAATCCTTGTTTACAAAAAAAAAAAAACATTCCACACTGACTCGCACAAGCCCTCCACACTGACGACAGCTCCTTCCGCACCGCTCATCACCACTGCAGCTCGTGTGACGTAATGAGATACGCCCTTCACCTGTGTCTGTGTGTGTGTGTGAGAGAGAGATAAAGAGAGCGACGGTGTGTGACTTTTCAAAACAAAGTGGGTGTGTATCCAGCTCTCTATCCTGTTTACACAGCTCTAAAGAGAGAAAAGAAAACACCAGCCTGCGTGATGATCAGATGATCAAAAACCACAAATACACACACACACACACACACACACATACACTGAGAGATTTCAGTTGCCAACTTTGCAACACGACCCGAGAAAAAAATCCCTTAATGACCTCATCTTGTAGCCCTGTTGCCTGGTTACTCTCCACCCATAACAAGCCCTCTTTGGTGGTGTCATATTTTTTAATAACACCTGGCTATCATGCCCAAGAGGTGCCTACTATATCAATTTCAATTCACTTTATTTACTGGAGTGTCACTCTCAGAGCTGAAGCTTCCACTAATTACTCACCCTGCTGGTTGTAAAAAAAAAAAAGGCAGAGTAACTAGTGGCTGAATTCAAACAGCTGTAATTGGATGTATAAGCCTGAGAATTGGCCCAGACATTAATGACATTGAAGCCAACAGCATGAGATGGCCGGTGTTTAAATAAACAGCAGTGAGACAGAGCAGCAGGGCCAGTTCTCCCTCTCTGCTCCGCTCCTCGCTCGTTTTCCTGCAGGGCAGGTCGGACCAGACTGGCAGGTAGCTACACGGAGTCCTGACTGACGACCATTAGAGAGTCTCAGCCACCACGCCACCTCTCTGAAGACAGACAGCTCGTCTAAAAAGCCCGTGGCCTCTCACTCGTCTGTTCAAAGACCTACAGACAGACAGGCAATCTTAAGCCCGGGCTCCCCTCTCCATTCGCTCATGGATGGACAGGCAGGGCACTGTCAGGATCCTCATTAGATTGACTCCAAGTCTCTCTGAGCAAGTGAGGAAGACTGACACCTTCTGAGGGAGGGAGAAAAACCTTTGAGGCACAATATGTTGCAGAGCCACAATGAAAAAACACAAGGGCTCACCACAAATGCTTCAAAGCTTTGACCAGTTGCCATGGTAATAGGCGTCCAAATCATTATTCGAAGGGTATAAATGAATATATATATGGTAAATGGGAAATGAACTGCACTTGTATAGCGCCTTTCTAGGCTTCTGACCACTCAAGGCGCTTTTACACTATGTCACATTCACCCATTCACACACTGGTGGCCAAGGCTACCATACACAGTGCATTCACACACACTGACACACCGATGGAACAGCCATTGGGGTTCAGTATGTTGCCCAAGGATACTTTGACATGCAGACTGGAGGAGCCAGGGTTTGAACCACCAATATTCCGATTGGTGGACGACCTGCTCTACCTCTGAGCTCCATATACAGTAATCCAACTATGTTCATCACGCATCAACATTCATTACTGTAAGTTATTCTCAGACAAAGACATTTAAATTTACTGACAGTTTTGCGACTTCAACTTGCTTTCATCTAATGTTCGTCACCAGCAGTCCAGCACTATCTAAACTGGGACAGTTTGACCATGTGTCAGGCATTCAGACATGCAAGATGTCGAAAAATCAAGTGTCTGAAATCATAGCTATAGAAACATAGATACCTAATTTGCCGCTGGATCATGCGTCAACATCGCCGCCATTTTGCAAAAAGCAAGACTTGGCTTTTAAACAAATGCAAGTAATCAGGGGAGCTGCTATTTTCCAGGATAAAGCACTGTAACATTTACATTTCTCAACCAACTGCAATGACACATTTTATATGAATGGGTTTTTTATCTTTCCATCCATCCATCTTTCCTTTCTATCTCCAGTTCACAAGTTTATGGATATTTAGACTACAATCACTGCTGGGCGCTCAATAAAGTGTGTGTTAGGTTTAACTGAATTTCTTACTTGGTGGAAAATAATTCATTGTAATAAGGAACTGTAAAAACATACATTTGTTAAGATGATGATTTAACATGCTTATTTTCCCTGTAAAGACGTCCCTATATAATATAATTTAATGTGGAAGTTGATGACTTTACAACCAACTACTGTGCTAGCTAGCTAACGTTGTCTGCTTACCAACTTCTTTAACATATCAAAATATAGTAACTACTGCTCATTTTAGAAAGACCACATGTTCTTTGTTTATGTAATATAACATGGGTTAGATTGGGTCCTGTCTGCCACCAGTCACGACCCTTGGAAACTGAAGGCTCGCTAACATTAGTATGCTAGCAATGCTAACCATCTCTGGCCACCAGGAACATATATCTATAATCCACTGTCTGTTTTCTCGCAGTGACATTTCTAAAATGAGCAGTGGTGAAAGTTACTACATTGAAAAGTTGTCTAGGTTCATATTAAATCACATTACATAGGGACGTCTCCATAGAACCAAAGAAAATAAACCAAATCCATGCTTGATGCAAGCCAACGTACAGTAAGCATACACTCCACTCTTGAGTGTCCAGCAGTAATTATAGCCTCAACATCAAGATTCTAATTAACTGGAGACAAAACTTTATTTTTCTACCACATGTAGATCATAAAACCTCAAATATAAAAACAACTCACTGAAACCAGTTGGGGAAATATAAATCTTAAAGTGCTTTTTAAGCCGAAAAAATGACAATCCCCTGTTAGCTGCATTATGTACAGGTAAGTGTTGCTTCGTCCAGTGTGGCAGCAACGTTGATGTGTTGCTGCAACAGGCTGACAGTCAATTAGTTTCAAAATTTGCAAAGCTACCCCCCAAAAAGTTGTGCCACATTTACCAAAGGAAACTAGCATATCCAAAATCTACTGAGAGCTTGGCAAATCACCTGAACACTGCAAGTAACAGCTTAGCCGTCTTCTCCTTCTCTAGCTAATATGGCTTATGTTGCTAACATGCTAACAAAGTGGCTAACTGGCAGGTTATTTCAGGTGAACTGATTGAAAACTGTCCCCCATTAATCCACTCCTACCCCCACCACCACCACCATGCTGAAGCTTTGATTAATCATGGATATTTCTCAGTGAAGCTTTAATGCCCAAAACTGGTTTTCAGGATGGCTTCAAAAACCACACAGATGCAGCCAATAATGAGGTAATCACAGCACACATTAGGTCCAAAACAGCTAATTACCTACGAGGCTTGATGAGATGGATATAGCGGCTCGGTAATGCAGATGGATACACTTTATATGGAGGCGAATACATTTACAAGGGCCTCCAAGGTCACCGAATCCCCGAGCATCCCTTGAGGAAAAGCTCAGAACGCAGTAATGGAGAAGATGTAGGTAGATGGAATTACGGCTCCACCTCCTAACAGCTAATATCACAGGGGATGACTGAGCCGTCAGGAGGAGAAAATTGCAGGCGAACAGAAGCACAAACATTGCTGTTGTATATGCGTTTTGCATGTGTTGCCTGCGGTGCCCGTGTGTCTGGACATGGAGGCAGTGAAGGCTTCCCAGTTGACAGACTGGTCGTAGTAAGCAGTGAATACATTAGCACTGATTAGTCAACTGCTCCTGGGGGGGGGGGGGGGGGGGGGGGGGTGTTTGTGGCCGTGACCATGATCAAACAGGGGCTCTGTCTGTCTGTCTGTCTGTCTGTCTGTCTGTCTGTCTGAGTGTCCTTTCCAGTCATCTCTTTGTTTACCTCTCTGTTAAGTTCCCATCTTTTCTGTTCCCTTTCCTTTTTTTTTTTGTTTAGCTCCTTACAACGGCATCTCTGTCGCAGCCAGCTGTTGGACAACCCTGTGCAGGGGCGAGCCGTCTGTGCTTCTTTTGATGTGGGAGCAAAATCTCTAATCTGGACGCCGGAGCCCACAGTAACTCCCTTGAGCTAAACATAGGCTGCTATATCCTTACGCACTCCAAAAAAAGCCCACAATGGACACAAACACATGATGAACCCAGTGGTTTGGGCATCTTTTATCCTGGAGCTGTCAAATAAAATCAAAATCTGAATGTTTGATAAACCAAAGACACAAAAATGTAAAATCACAGCACTTTGACATCATGTTTTCAAACATTCCTCTCGATGTAACGAACTCTGATAAGCTACTACCAAAGGGGACACATATATTAGCATAATGTAGGGGTTGTAGCGAGTTCTTTCTCTTTATAGTGCTTTTGTTCTTAAAATACACCTCCGAATCGCTTCAAAGCTACATGACAGCATCAAGATCCTAACACTCCCCTGAAGAGGAACTTCAGGCGGCTCTCATCACGGCGACACCACCAGATCCTTAACGATAAAATTTGAATACTGAAATAAAAAAAGGCATAAAACACATCTCTTATTTTGTTAAACCCCCCCCCCCCCCAACACACACACACATATATAAAACACACACTCTCCTCTCCATTGGATTCCTGAGCTGCGAAGGAGACAGATGGTTGCCATAGCAACTATCTTTGCGCACAGCTAGGAATGTGTTTCTGTGCAAGCGCATCTGTTTCTCCCTGGCCGTCCACAGATCTG